AAGGGAGGCCATGGCAGCAGGTGTAGGGACCAGCACAACAGGCTTCTGCAGCGGGGAAGGGAGATAGGGCTCAACTCCAAATACGACGTCGGAAAATCGGCATTAACAGCCAAGGAGAAGGTTGGGAGTCAGTGGCTGGAAAACTGCTAAGAAGAAACATTGTGTAAAGGGGATTCTGGCAGAGGGAAACTTACTGGATTCTTGCTGAAGATAGACATCACCTTGGGGCTGATGGAGAATGAGGAATCTGATCAGATCGCAAGCATGATCGGATACTGAAGGTGGTTAAATGGACTTAGCGGGATTCTTGCTGAAACTGGACAAGGCAGAACCAATACAGAAGGAAGCCCAAAAGTCAGGGCCCAGTAGAGCAGAGAGCTCAGAGAGAACCTGAAGCAGAATTTGGTCAAGCAGAAAATCTTTGTGAGTGACTGGGAGAACAGGGAGGGTGCCACTTTCAGAAGCAAACCCAGGAGCTGGGTTGATGGGAGGGAGGCCACGGTGCCCGCAGGGAGTGCTTTCATCTGGAACATGGAGAAGAATGTTGCTTCTGGTTCCAAGAATGATCTCAGCTGCCCGGAGAGAGTGGGACACCCACAGGGAGATCTGCGGGCTGGCTGTGAAGCCACAAGGTGTGGGAGGCGATCAATCACAGACAGTGCATACCCATGTTCCCCGTGAGTGTCTCGGGCTCTCTTCTGCTTTTCTTCCGGAATGGCGACCCCGGGTGGGCTGCTGGCAGCTTCACCACAGTAACAACAGGTAAGCCCAGGTCTGTGCTCACTGGGCCACAGAGAATTTGCTCAGGGTCTGTTTGGGGAAGTAGGAAGTTGGCACGGAGCGGGACTGTCCCAAATTTAGTATCTGTGACATTCTATTCTCCATGTGACATGAGTGATGCACATGCTGGCTTTTGACCAGTATCGGCGAAACTGTTCATTCTGCCTGACTATCCCTCCTCTCCGACCCTGGCCTGCACTTCAGGCTCAGTGTTGGGGGAATGGCAATGGAGGAAGGGCTTACAGAGTGCCCACAAAAAATGGTTACAAGTACTGGGAACAGAGGCAAACTGCGTCAGGCCTGTCGCGAGGCAAACTGCCCTAAGCCTCATGTTCCCGGTGCAGAGTGGCCTTGACTCTGCCACGGCGCATCACATGCTCAGGGGCCTAACACCCCTTCTGTAGCATCACAAAGTAACCAGACCTGTGGGCTCCTTGTGAGACGCACTTCCTCCAGCTGTGCCTAGAATGCAGTCTGTAGATAATAACCACATGCTTCTGCTTTTCAAAGTTTCCCACAAAGCTGCCACTGCTACAGTCTTTAGAACGACCCGCCAGTTCCTGTTCACCGACGAATGCTCCACCCTCGTACCACCCCTCCCCACCATCACCTCAACTTCACCCCACCATCTGCTGACGGCTCAGGGTCATTGTAACCAACAAATACTGTGGGAACCGGAGCTCGGGGCGTTCACTGCTCCAGTACAAATGATGGTCCCCGATCCCACTTTCATTCTTAATCTTTTTCTCATTCCTTTGTTGCCAGCGAACTCGGGGTGCCCACTGGTTGGGTATGGGGGCTGGTTCCCTACCCTCCAGGCCACACTGACAGCCAGCCCAGGCAGGCATCCAGCATCATGGCACTGCAGCAGTTTGGTGGATGTAACTAGCAAATGTTTAACCAAGACTACACTGTAAGTCTGGCTTCCTGGCCTGACATTCATCTGCCAGAAACAATCCTTATTTTTAGCCACCTCAGCTGGTCAGAATTCATAGGTAAGTGAAACTAGAAAAAAAGGGGAGAGGTTTAATGGGCCAAGGAAAGAAAGAACCGTAAAATGCATAGCCTTGGACCATGCTGTGGACCCTATGAACCCCTTCTCAGCATGTGGACTAGTACTAGATACCAAGAGCTATCAGGGGGACTGATAAGGAAATAATCCAGAGCAGCTCATGAAGACCAAGGATGCTTTCAGATATCTGAGGAGGCCACATCATAAGGAAACCTCAATGATGGCTACTGGGAGGTGGTTTTGCTGTGGTTCGTGGGCTCCATTTTTATGGAAGGAAAGCTACATTTCAGATAGAAGTCAGTAAAAATGAAGATGCTGTCTTTCTTTCTACACAAGCACACACAGGACTCCATGGGAGTCTCCAGTCTGGGGATCCAAGCCTCTGGGGGCTTCTGGGCATCTGGTCACCCTGTGAGACATGTCCTCAGTTGAGATGGTAGAGGAAAAACACAAGACGTGCAGTCACTTTATATTTCTGCTCCCATTTCACATCCATGTTGGCGTCTGCAGAGCATTCCAACAGGTGGACTGGCCCCATTGACCTTGCTACACCAACCACAAACTGTTGCTGATATTTGCTCACATGTTGCTAACATGGACAAGGGAAGTCCACTGCTATATGCCTGCACTGCGACGGGCATGCATGGTCTCCACTCCCACCCTGAGAAGTAGGCACTGCCATCTTCCCTGCACTTTCCTGAAACTGGGGCTCAGACTAGTGGGACAGCGTGTCCAGGTTCACACAGTGCTCTGTGGCAGAGCTAGAGACAGGCCTCACTCCAAAGCCTCTTCTCACTGCACACAACCAGCCCCTCTCCAGGTAAAGTGATCTTTTCCATCTTTCTAAAGAGAGCAAGAGACAAGGTTTTTCTCTGTTATCTTGAGGTTATGATGGAGGTTGAACAGGAGAAAGTTGGAATGGGGCTGCATGTCGTCCTTGGTTGGGTATCAGATAGATTTGTCTCTGCTTGGGTTGGGTTATAGAAAATGAAACCTGAATTTCAGAGTCTGAAATGCATCTTTGCCATTTCCTGAAAACTTGCCTTCAAGAAGGAAAAGCTGCAGAGCCCTGACCGTTCCTGAGTTCTCACGCCATGACATAGCAGGATTTTTGCAGGCTTTTCCTCCAACCCCTGGCAAGATGAGTTTTTAAGCAGGTAGGGTGGGACAGGCTGGTGGTAGAGGAGATAGCTCACGAAGTTCCACAAGGCAGGGAGTCTGGGATTCCTTCCTAGGTTGGGGAAGTCCATACATCTTCTTTGAAAGGAGAGTTGGTGACAGAATGTTTAGAATGACTGCCGGAATCTGTCTAGCAAGTCCTGGCTCTGTCATTTTCTGGGGCCTGAGAAGAGTTCTGTCTGGAATGGAAGCTGACATTTCCTGACACATTTGAAGGGCCTCTTCTACCCTAACCATGTCTGAGGGATTTGTGAGTCCTCTGGCCTTCTCTGAGCTCCTGTTTCTGTCTCCTCTGAAATTCTTAATCGACATTGTTCAATAAACAAGAACCTGCTAAGTTCCCTGCATCGCTTCTTGGCATCGTGCTGCGCCTTAGCAGGGATTCCAGGGAGACCCTGCTGATCTCCGCCTCTGTCCTGGTCCTGTCCCTCTCCTGCTCCTCCATGCCTTGGCCTCAGAGGCACCTGGACAGCCCTGTTGCTTCTCTCCTGCAGGCCTGACACCTTCTTCTTCAGCTGAAGGAGACACCGGGAGGCCCCTTCCTGCCCGCTGTAGAGAATAACCACCATATCCTGAACTGTCAGACTGTGCAATCAGCATTTCAGTGCCTGCAGGAGGGTTTATTGCCTTTTATGGCTAGAAATATTGACTTGTCCATAGATACCAATGAAGAATGACATATGTTGTAATAACAAATTCTCAACGTTTGCTTATAAAGGTGTTTATCTTATCTCCCTTGTCTCCCATTTCAAACGAGTAGCCTAGGATAGAGCTTATGCCCTAACAACAGATTAGCAAGAAAAGAAAGACAGAGGGAGAAGGAAAATGGGGCCGAGGGAGATTCCCAGTTCCTTGTCTAGAGAAATATAAGCAGGTCATAAGAGTTGATTCTGGGAGAAGAACGGAAGGGATGGATCTCATGAGAAGGAGATCTGAGAATTACCCCTGAGAAACAGGTGGACAATGATAGTGGCTGTGGGCCCAAGACATTCCGTCTCCTTAATCCCCACAAAACCCAGGGAGTGAGACTTTGGACTGTTCTTTACAGCTCACACAACAGGCCCAAAGGTGCTGCAAACCACCACCTCCACCCCCCACCACGATGACCACTTTCTCCTAGTCATGTTCTTTTACAAGTGGACCTACTGCTAATATCTCTACTGGCCCTTGAATGGTGACAAGTAGTCTTCAAAAAGATGAACATACCAACATACAAGGACAGGAGGAGGCCATTAGAGAAATCATGTATGAAATACAACTCTGAGCTTTCTGGTGGCCAAAACTCTTTTATCTAAGGGTTCATAGTTCATATTATTCAAACAAGGAAGCATGCTATTTCTTTGAAAGAGAGGCAGTTCCCCCCGCCCCCGCCAGCGACACTTAATTCTAGAAGAGATTTGTTGTTTGGGGTCTTCCACAGGAATCTCTAGTTCTGTCAACATCTCTGCTACAACAGCACTTGCATTTTGTGTGTCCATTTGTGGAGCTGGTTCTTGATAAATACCTATGTGAGACCCAGCATTAAAATTGTTGCTGAAGAACATATGACCAGGCAGTTATGAATTACGAGCTGTTTTTTTTTGAGACGGAGTTTCGCTCTTGTTACCCAGGCTGGAGTGCAATGGCACGATCTCGGCTCACCGCAACCTCCGCCTCCTGGGTTCAGGCAATTCTCCTGCCTCAGCTTCCCGAGTCGCTGGGATTACAGGCATGCGCCACCATGCCCAGCTAATTTTTTGTATTTTTAGTAGAGACGGGGTTTCACCATGTTGACCAGGATGGTCTCGATCTCTTGACCTCGTGATCCACCCACCTCGGCCTCCCAAACAAGCTGTTCTTAACTCTTTCTTTTTTCAGACTTACTTGCTAAGCTCACAATAGTCTTCTTCCCCTGAGAGTTTTCCATTAGGGGATCAGAACAGGTGTTCTTGCAGTACCTTCCTAGGCCAGTGCAATCTACTGCACTTGGGTTTGTGTCAAGATGATATTGGTCTGCAGTGGTTAATTATTAGGCCACTGGAAATACAGTCCTATAAAAGTAAGTGAAAGGAAGGGGTAGGAATAGTCCACCTTCAGGATTCTCCTCATTTTCTAAGTCTTCCCTCTCTAGGCAAGAACACTTGCCTTCTTCTCCATCTCAGAGGCAGTCCCTCCACAAGAAGATCCAAAATACTTGAAGGTGAGCATTTGCAGGGTGGGTTGGCAATACCCGTGTCAGAGTGGCTGCCTGTTTGTGGTACAGTGACTTCAAAACTGAGAAATTTGCGTCCTCAGCTAAGGAGGTGCTTTCCTTGAAGTGCAGCAGCCCAGACCTTTCTAGTACATGTGATAGTAGGAGCCTGGGCCCTGCTGTAGCCCTTTCTCCTCCATTCTCTTTTCTGCAGCGTATCAAAGGAGCCATCATGTCCCTGTCCTCCAGCTTAAAGAGTCTCCTCATCGTCTGTGCCTTCGCGACTTTTGTTTTCAGTACTGTGGGTAAGAATGAGCAATTGCCCCTTTCTCCCAAAGACCTGGAGGGTGAGGATGGCAATAAAGTCCCTTGGGGGCAACTGTGGACCATGTGGGCCTCCCCAGACCCATCCAGCCCCACATGGAGCAGGTGTCATGGCACTTTGATTCCCAGGGATCTCTGGCTATAGGAAACATCAACTATGACTTGACAGATTTCATTCTTGAATTATTTTTTCAACAATATTTATTTCCTTTCAGTAGAGAGTCTGACATGTGTAGATTGTGCTGATGCTGCATGTACCTCTACACCACGCACTTGTACGAACACTGAAATCTGCTTCAGCATCAGGAAACAATTTAATAATACATCAACAGGTAGGCCCCACCAACCACCCTGCCCAAGCTGCTGGACACTCAGGGCAGACAAAGGAGGTACTTAGTGTAAGAGGGTTACTTTGTTAAGAAACTTGACGTATTTCCTCCTTCCTTCATGTATCGTCTAGTTCATCCTTTCTTCCTAAAATAATGTCTTGCCAGTATGGGGCTGGGAGAGTGGGGTGGCAGGAGGTGGCAGGGATGGGGTGCTGTGTCAAACAGAGTGTCCAGGGAAAGGTCTGGGTGGTCTGGGCCCATACATCAAGCTAGTGGGGACCGTTGAGGAATGACACTCCTTTTTAGCAAATTCTAACCTATTGTCCCTCCACCGGTTTATTCTGTGAAATGGACCAATGCCAGGGCAGTCTTTTGGAGAAGTGGAAAGACTAAAGACAATGGAGTAGGGACTGGCTGCCCATTGGGCATCACTGCCTATGTGCCTCAGAGAGAAAATTCTTGGGGTTTGGTTCTGCGCAGGGCAGCACATCCTGCAGAAAGGCTGTTCAAGCCAGTGTAAACCACTGTTCTTCTCGGCAACACTGGGGGATAAGATCACATTTGGGTATGGCCATCAATGCTGCAAAACTGACAATTGTAACCAAGAGGACTTCCAAGGTGAGGACCAGCCCAGCTCTGTGCTCTCCTACCCTTCCTGCTCCTGATCCCCATCCACTGGTTTTAGCCTCTGCCTTCTAAGAACCTGCCCGCAGTTCATCTCTCTGCTTCTGAGATACCCACTGACGTTACTTGCCAATTGCCTGTCCTTCCTGCAGCTCTCCTTGTGGAGCACCATCGATAGAAGTCCCTCTCCTGCAGGGGAGACTAAGCGATGGTGGGTGACAGCGATTGGTTCTGGGGATTTTCCATTAATGTGAGTCTGTTGACTTAAATAATTTTATCTCCTATTCCAGCTGAAAGATTTGCCCTTCCCCTCCTTTTTTTTTTTTTTTTTTTTGTTTTTGTTTTGAGACTGAGTCTTGCTTTGTCACCAGGCGCCAGGCTGGAGTGCAATGGCGCAATCTCGGCTCACCGCAACCTCCGCCTCCCTGGTTCAAACAATTCTCCTGCCTCAGCCTCCCGAGTAGCTGGGACTACAGGCACGTGCCACCATGACCAGCTAATTTTTGTATTTATTTATTTTTTTTTTTAGTAGAGACACGGTTTCACCATGTTGCTCAGGATGGTCTCGATCTCTTGACCTTGTCATCTGCCTGCCTTGGCCTCCCAAAGTGCTTGGATTACAGGCGTGAGCCACCGCACCCAGCTTCCTCATGTCTTTAATTCCTCACTCCATCAATAGTATCTTCTTAAACTACAGTTTATATTCTCTACCATTCTTCAAATATTTTTCTCCAGCCAGGGCAGAGAGGGGGTGATTCATGGAAAGGGAAAGTAACACTGAGTTCCTATAAAAATTTTTTTTAATTACTTTACATGGAAACATCTAATACCTACAATCCTCCTCCCTCCTCCCATGGCATCCTCGTTGTAATTGTGTGTGTGTGTGTGTGTGTGTGTGTAGAAATCCTAGAATAACCATGTTCTTTTTAATTTTATCTGCCTATTCCTTAAGATAAAATTTTTCTCTCTTCGTTCAGTGGCTCGGAAATCCTCAGATCCCAATGGCATTATCTGTCCTACCTGCTACAGCGAAAGTGATTCTATCTGTAAACAGACTTCCCTCGCCTGTCAAGGGGAAGAGAAAAGCTGTGTTGTGTTTACAGGCTCAGGTATCCATAGCATCTTGGTGTTCATTTTCCTGTAGTATATTACCCACTTATTGCTGGATAACTAGTTACCCCAAAATTTGAGCTGAAAACAACAAAGCATTATTATTTTACAGTTTTTGTGTGTCAGGAATCTGGATGTGGCATAGTTGGGTGGTTCTGGCTCAGGTCTCCCATGAGGTGGAAGTTAAGGTGTCATAGGGGCTATGGTCATTTGGATGAAGGGTCTGCTTTCAAGTTCACGTGGTTGCTGGCAGTCCTTTGTTCTCCTCTGAGCCTCGGAGGTGCCTGAGTTACATCATGACATATCAGCTGGCTTCTCCCAGAACAAGCGATAACAGGAGAGAGGGAGGAGCTATAGCTTCTAATAATCTAATTTCAGAAGTGACACATCATCGCTTCCACTTGTACTCTTGGTGACACAGAGATCAAGTCGGACACAGCGTGGGAGAGGTCTGTGCAAGTGCACAAATGCCACGGGATGGGAACCACTGGGGAGTATCTTAGAGGCCGATGAGCACATCTAGCCAGGTGTGCTACAGGGCCAGGTGCTCGGTTATCCTGCTAAGGTCTGGAAGGAGAATAAAGGAAAAGGGAAGAGAGGAGAATAGAAAACACAATTGCTTCCCATAGCGAGGACTTAGGCTTGAGGAGGACGTTATCACTATGGTGCCCTGAAATCAACTCTTGGCTCATTGGCAATGAAGGGGTGACGGCACCTCAGTTCTGGCTGTTTTCATCACTACCGTTATTATCATTACCAAACCCCATGATTAAGCATTTAATTTTTGCATGGTGTCCTTCTGAAATCTATGGAATGATTTGTAATTTTCGTCAGTAGGGACAAAGTATATCTGTGGTGAAGGACACATGTTCCACTCAATCATAATATTTTTATTTCTAGTCTGTACTGTACAGTTGGATGGGTACTGTCAGTTCTCCTCTGATCAATTTGTCAGAGGTTTCCTGGAATTAGTGGTGCTTTAAGAGCTATTAAATGATAGAAGAGAAAATTTACTGGGAAAAGAGATGTGTTGTGCTTTCTTTGGAGGGAAAGGGAGAAAGGTCTCAAAGGAGGGTCTAGCACTAACAGGTGAAGGGCCCTTTGTCTAGATGTGTTGAGGTGACTGAGAAAAACGTAATGTCACGTAGGATACAGAGGAGGGTTGGAGCTGTTGAAAGTGAGGCAGTCTCTCTACTCCATCTTATTATGGGGATAGCACAGGCATAGAATGCGATTTCACAGTGCTAATCTCCCAAGAAACTCAGAGCCCTGGATAGAAGAGATACAGTCTTGAGAGGAATGTGCAATATTTCACTCTGGGTTTTCCAAAGAGAGCAAAGGGAAGGAGGAGGACAGGTTGCACAGAAATATTTTAGCCAAATGCACGAGGTCTGACTTCTTGCTAGTGTTTTTCCCTAAATCAACCATCCCTCCCTTAGTCAGGACCCAAAGGCCCCAGTCTCAGTCATCCATCTGAGATAGCAAGGTCCCTTAGGGGTCTCTCCCAAACTGGAGAGATATTGGAACCAGAGGGAAATAAGGCTTTGTCCCTGGCTGGAGCTGGTGCAACTGTTGATGCTTCATACAGAAGGCAGAAGTCAGGGATTCTGGGGCACTCTGCACACCCTTTTCTTCCACAATTGATGCATATAGGTTGCCCTGAGGATGTGGATGAGGAGGGGAGACAAGGTGAGAGACAAGTCTAACCCCTGGGTCTTTCTCTTTGCAGGTAATAATCAACAGTCGATATTCGGCATGGGTTGTGCGACTGAAAGTGCCTGCAACCTGACGGATGTGGAAGCGATAAATAACATAAAAATCCGCACCTTCTGTACGGACGCCCGTAGCGGAAGCCCCCGGCTGACGTCCATCATCTCATCAGTTCTGACTGCTCTCTTTCTGCTGAAAGTCTTGCTTTGATCTCTTAGGCACTTCCAAGCCCATCTACAAACATTTCCAAACACTTCTATAAACCTTTAAAAGTTGGAGACCTTGAATGTCTTCCTCCCCACACTGCCTACCCACAACATCAGAGAATTAAAAAACTGATATGTCCAGAAGTATGTGTGTAATTACTTGTTTGTACTTTAGGTTAAAAAAGACCCCATTCACTCTTCTAATGGCTTCCTCCTTCTACCCAAGCACATTTTGGGGGGAGTCTAAATGGCAGCTATACGACTCCCTGTGCTGCGGTCTTGTATGAACTGCACTGTATCCTCAGCCACACATCCTGGTACGTGTTTCCTGATATTCTCTTTTCTTTTTCTTTTTTTTTTTTTTGAGATGGAGTTTCGCTCTTGGTACCCAGGCTGGAGTGCAATGGCGTGATCTTGGCTCAACACAACCTCCACCTCCTGGGTTCAGGCAATTCTCCTGCCTCAGCCTCCTGAGTAGCTGGGATTACAGGCACAGGCCACCATGCCCAGCTAATTTTTTGTATTTTTAGTAGAGACGGGGTTTCACCATGTTGACCAGGATGGTCTTGATCTCCTGACCTCGTGATCCACCCGCCTCAGCCTCCCAAAGTGCTGGGATTACAGGCGTGAGCCACCGCGCCCGGCCTCCTGATATTCTCAATTCCCACTCTTGATCCTTAGCTGCCCATTGCTAGGGAAAATTATTTTGAATGAACCATTCAGGTCCCAGGAGGGTCCTTTCCCACAGACTGTAAAGTCACAGGTATAATGAACTCTCCCCCGACCTCAGAATCCTGTGTGTGAAATTCTTGCCATATACTCTGGATACCTCTTTCAAAGATGGATGGGTATCAGGATAAAGGATGCAGGCAGAGGTGGTCTGTGAAGGTTGTTTTAAATGCCAAATTTAAAAGATGAAGGTGCATACACTGAGAGCCAAGAGGGCTGTGTCCTCCCAAGGCAGAGTTTGGAACCGTGGCAGCCACAGCAACGTTTCATAAATGTCTGTGAAAAGGTGGGGGGCCAGGCGAGGAAAAGCTTTTACAGGATTCAAACTTGCATGATGTTCTCATGGTGCTGATCCCACAATTAAGCAATCCTGTGGGGGGCTCAGACGGACCCCTGATTCTCCAAATTTCTGGGATGCCACCAGACCACATCTCTCAGCAATTTTTGAGCTGTATGTGGGCAAAGTGAGTACCCTTCTCCAGTACCCGGATCTACGGAACCCTCTCAGACATGGCCCTTTATGCTCTTCTGTATCCGTTGTATATGTGGGCAAAGTGAGTTCCCTTCTCCAGTACCCGGATCTACGGAACCCTCTCAGACATGGCCCTTTATGCTCTTCTGTATCTGTTGATTGCATGGGATGGACTTTCTGTCTGAGGAGGGCTAAGACGCAGTATAGAGAAGACTGGTCCTTAAGTGGCTACTTGGAGGAGATCCACCTAACGTAGTGTCCCAACTGTGAATGCCCAGTGGACCATTATGTGGGCAATAAATAAATGCCTACATGTTAGCTCTCTGAAATACGAATGGTTAGGGTACACCTGTTAGCCTGTCCTCACTAATCCATCTTAACTGCAACGAGAGGAGTGGAGACTAAAAGGCAGAGACCAGCCAAAAGGGTTTTCTTGCCAGTTGCCATCTAAGAAGCACAGTCTCAAGTAACACCCTGAAACTCGTGAGTCATTCGTGTTGTTTCCCTGAAAGGGAAGATTTCTGCTTGCTTGAACCGGTCAAGGAGTTTAGAACAAACCCAGTTCACTTGGGCTGTGAGCCAGATAAAAGGGGGACCCTTAGTTTAGCCAGGCCTCTATCATCAAGGCTGCATGACCACCCCTGCTGGGAAGTGTTTTGACTCCTTTTCGATTTTTCCAGAACAGAAACTATAGATTCATGGTGCCATCTAAATCCCAACCCTCTTACCTCATTTGGGGGAGTGAGGCTATTCTTCTTTAATGGAAATATTAGAAGGCAACATGCATTTTAGACATGGAGCTTTCAGGTATTTGCATGTCCAGAGTTGATCTGGGAGGTTATATATGGGTCTTTGCCGTACTCTGCCTATCAGTGAGTAAGAATTAATTTCTTTTCTCTCTCACAAGAAGAAAGTTGACTTTCAATAATGACAAACATTTCCCAACATTTGTCGAGGGATTACTACATACCTGCCACAGTTCTCAGTGATTGACATGTACTAACTCATTTGATCCTCACAAAAGTCCCATCACATAAGTACTGTACTATTTTATTCCCATTTTATAGATGAGGAAACTGAGGCACAAAGAGGTTACTAACTCGTTTAACTAGCGGAGAGTGGAGTTGAGATTGAATCCAGTCTACCTGGGGGTGAAATGATCAAGCTGCCCAGTTGATTACTTGTAGAAATTTAGACATTGGTAACATAGTTCTTTGTTCATTTTTTTCATAGCCTGTATCAGTTTCCAATTGCTGCCATAAAAATTACCACAAAAGTAGTGACTTAGAAAACAATTTTATTCCTTTATTGTTCTGGAGGCTAGAATTTGAAAAGAATTGCACTGGACTGAAGTGAACAGGGCTGGTTTCTCTGGAGACTCTGAAGGGAAAATCCTGTCTTTTTCAGCCTCTAGCAGTGTCTAGTGCTTGGCTTGTAACTCCCTCCTCCATCTTCAAAGTACATCGTTCCATTATCACAGCACCCTAACTCCTCCTTCCTCGCTCTTATGAGAACTCTTGTAGTTACACTAGGCCCACCCACATAATCTGGGAAAATTTTCCCATCACAAGGTCTTAATCACATCTGCAAAGTCTCTTTTACCACATAAAATGACCAGGCACAGTGGCTCACCCTTGTCATCTCAGAATTTTGGGAGGTCAAGTTGGGCAGATGGCTTTAGCCCAGGAGTTTGAGACCAGCCTGGACAACATGACGAAACTCCATCTTTCCAAAAAACAAAACAAAAAAAACCCCATAAAAACTAGCCAGGTGTGGTAGCATGCACCTGTTGTCCCAGCTACCTGGGAGGCTGACGTGGGAAGATCACTTGAGCAGGAGGCAGAGGTTGCAGTGAGCTGAGATTGCAGCCTTGCACTGCAGCCAGGGTGACGGAGGGAGACACTGCCTCAAAAATAAATAAGTAAATAGAAAAATTAAAAAATAAAAATAAAAATAAAACAACGACATTCAAAGGTTCTGAGGATATGGATATGAACTTATTTGGAGGACAATAATTAGGCTACCACATAACCCATCCGTTTGCACAAATGTTTATTTTATTATTTAACAATTCTTGTAACGAAAGTGTAAACCAAAGATAACATTTAAGGTTCTCACCCAACTAACTAAATATATCCCTCCTCATGGTCAAGGGGATTCCAAAGAAACTTGAAAACCTAATTCAGGCCAGGATGAGAAGGAAATGTGATACTCTCCTCTGTTTGGAATTCAGGCAACTAAGCAGCATTAACATTAAAACAGAGATCCTAATACTTACAAAACAGACTCTTTGTAGTGATAAGATACCAAATTCCCACCTGTCTCCAGGAAAGCATTACGTAACAGATAGCAGGTCCTGAAGGAAACTGAAGAATTTTGCCCCAATATAAATTTCTTTGACATGGTTTGAAAAGGCCCTGAGAAGCAAAGGACCTGGAAATGGAAAAGAGTTCTCTACAAAATACAAAGGCAAATTTGTATTTTGTAGAGAACTCTTTTCCATTTCCAGGTCTTTTGCTGGTCCTGAAGAGACTGGCTAAGAGCCCGGCAGGTTTTCATGGTCTGAAAAAGAAACATTTGCCATCTCTTGTCTCTAAGGGCAGCCCCCTTTGAGGCTTTATGCATATAATGAGAACCTTGGTTGCCACAACTCCTATCTTAACCTAGACATACCACCTGTACTGCTTGGCTTGTAACTCCCTCCTCCGTCTTCAAAGTACATCACCAAGGTCTTTATCCTAAAATAGTCCTGCTGAATTTCACCCTGACCATGTAAATTGATAGCATATCTTTGCAGGTATGGACAAAGGGCAGAATTCAGTCATCCCTCTGCTCACTTGAGACAAATACATATCGGATTTCTTCCTCTGCCTTATGTGTATTTTATATTATATAAAAATGTAGATTAATTGAGCCAGATGAATGCATAAGTGACTATTTCTCTACCAACTTCTCACAGGTGAAGGGCTTATCAAAGACTCAAAAGAATGGCACTGCTTGCCTGTTTTCCCATACCTTTTAAAAATTACTTCCTCTTTCCCCAATATCTGTCCTTTCCCCTTTAAAGCTTACAGTCATCTTTAAAGAAAAGTTTAGACCTGTCTCTTGGATACATCCTTAACCTTAGTAAAATAAATTTCAGTTCTAACTTTTATTTTGTCCTGCTAAGTGGAGACTACATGGACAGAGAAAGAAAGACATAACGAAGTCTACAAGAAATGACACAAAATAAAAAAGGGAAGAAAAGACACACACATGCACACATACAGATATGAGTAGATAGAGGGAAACTGAGGTAAATGAGACATATAGAGGGGGAAGAGGCAGATAAACAAAAGGAAGTGTGGGGATACCATTTTATGAATGAATGTCTCCATCTTGTCATTCGTGGTGTAGCTACTAATTGAGTCAAGTTTTTGTTTCCATTGTTTATTCATCTATCCACCTTTGCACGCATTTGTCTAACAATGCAACCCATATTTTCGAGCTCGTGCTATATGGCAGGTACTATCCTAGTGCTGGGTATAGGGTAGTGAACAAAGCAGACGAATGTCCCTGTCTTTGTGCAGCTTTCATTCTGGTTGGGCAGATGGGTGGTAAATTAGATAAGTATAATGTGTAGTAAATTAGACTAGTATAATGTTAGGTTGTATAATGCTGACAAGAAAATTCAAAGTAGGGAAGGAAATGTGAAAGGCTGTTGGGAGATGGAATTTAGAGCGATCACAGAAGGCCCCACTGAAAGAATGACTTTTTAGTGAATGCCCGAAGAAAGCGTAGGAGAGAGAAAAGAGAGAAACCTCATGCTATGTGGGGGAAGAGCAATTCAGGAAGAGGAAAAAGACAGTGCAAAGGCTTTAAGTGGGAGTGTGACTGCTCAAGGAATGACAAGACCAACTGGGGCTGGAGTGTGGTGAGCAAGGAGAGCTGGGAGGTGAGAAGGGAAAAGAGCAAAGAGAGTAAGCATGGAGGACAGCAAGGAGAAGAGAAGAAGGTGAGCAAGGCGGAGAGCAAGGAGGACAGCAAGAAGAAGAGAAGAAGGTGAGCAAGGCAGAGAGCAAGGAGACAGCAAGAAGAGTGAGCAAGAGTACGGAGACAGCAATGAGGTGAGTAAGGAGGTGAAGGTGGAGGGTGAGCAAGGAAAAGAACAGTGAGTTGAGCAAGGAGGTGATCCAGGAGAACAAGCAAAGAGGTGAGCAAGGAGAGTTAGCAGGGAGGTGAGCAAGGAGGAGAATAAGCAGCTGGGGAAGGGAGGTGAGAAGAACAGCAAGCATGCAGAACAGCAAGAAGGTGAACAAGGAGAACAAGTAGATAAGCAATGAGAGTGAGCAAGAGGTGAGCAAGGAGACAAGCAATGAGGTGAGCAAGAAGAACAAAATGAGTAGGAGCATAAGCAAGAAAGTGAGCAAGCAGCAGAGCACTGGGAGAAGAACAGCAGGGCCACATCCTACAGGCTTTGGCGTTTGCTCTGAGTGAGGTGGGTAACACTGCAGGATTTTGAGCAGAGGCAGGACACCCTATGACACAATTCTGATTGCTGAGCTGAGAGTAAGCTCTAGGGGACTAAAGCTGGCAGCTGGGAGAACAGAAAGGCTTTGACAATACTACAGGTGAGAGATGAGGCTTGGATCGAAGTGGTGGCAGTGGCAAAGATAAAAGAAAAAAAAGGAGCATTCTAGAGATATTTAGAAGATACAACAGGATTTTTTAAATGGTCTTGATGTAAAACGTGAGGAAAAAGGGACAATAAACAAAGATAGAGTTTCTTCTTAATTCCCAGTGAGGGAGCTCCTGTGTAGACTGTAGCCCTTTGGTTTTGGCCAATTTCTCCCTTTTGGAATGGGAGTATTTAGCTAATGCCTGTGCCCCCATTGTATCTTGGAGGTAACTCATTGCTTTTTGGTATTACAAGCTCATAGGTGGAAGGAACTTTCTTGTCTCAGACGAGACTTTTGATAGCGGACTTTTTGAGTTAATCCTGAAACGACCTGGGGGACTGTTAAGAAAGGATGATCGAAGTTTTCAATGTAAGAAGGACATGATATTTGGGAGGGGCCAGAGGTGGAGTGATACAGTTTGGATTTGTGTCCCCATCCAAATCTCATGTTGACTTGTAATCCCTAATGTTGGAGGAGGGGCCTGGTGGGAGGTGACTGGATCATGGAGGTGGATTTCTCCCTTGATGTTGTCATGATAGTGGGTGAGTTCTCTTGAGATCTGGTTGTTTAAAAGTGTATAATACCTTCGCATTTGCTGTCCTCCTCTTGCTCCAGCCGTGTAAGGCATGCCTGCTTCCCCTTCCCCTTCCACCATGATTCAGAGTTTCCTGAGGCTTCCCCCAGTCATACTTCCTGTACAGCCTGCAGAACCATGAGCCAATTAAACTTCTTCTCTTTATAAATGACTCAGTCTCAGGTAGTTCTTCATAGCAGTGCAAGAACGAACTAACACAAGGTCTTTGAGACCTGTCAGTGACAATTTGATCTGTGGATTTTTTGGGGGGGTCCAGGGGAGCAAGGGGAATGGAGGCAGGTATGTCCTACTCTGCTGTCTTGGTGATATCACTCTCCTGATTTCATATGAGGTGAAAGCACATCAATTCCAAAACTAAATTCATGCAAATTAAGTAATTTCACTAACTCTGTGTCCACTCAGTATTATGAACATCATAATAAAAGTTATCACAAAAGTTGAAAATCAATTCTAAAGTTATCAATACCAACAAAGTGATTTAATGTTTTTATAGCTTTTGCAGCTACTTTATATAACACTGTTGATGACAATAAAAATCTTCTGCCTATTAGAATGTTAAAAAGTTAAAAGTGTGTGTGGTGGCTCATGCCTATAATCCCAGCCCTTTGGGAGGCTGAGGCAGGTGGATCACTTGAGGTCAGGAGTTCAAGGCCAGCATGGCCAACATGATGAAACCCCGTCTCTGCTAAAAAAAATACAAAAATTAGCCTGACATAGTGGCAGACATCTGCAATCCCAGCTACTTGGGAGGCTGAGGCAGGAGAATCACTTGAACCCAGGAGGCAGAGGTTGCAGTGAGCTGAGATGGTGCCACTGCATTCCAGCTTGGGTGATAGAGAGCGACTCGGTCTCAAAAAAAAAAAAAAAAGTAAAAGTTAAAAGTGTGTATAATCATTATTGTTTGTCTTGTAAAAAGTTTCCATTTCAATATAATTCTCATATCTGTTTACCAAGTTTACAAACAAGCTTTTCATTTGATTAGAGGTTAAATTTTAGCTCATGTGTGTGAAATGTAACATTAATGAGAAAACATAAATTACATTGCTCATTTTGGTCTTTGCTTATTAAATGCTTGGCAAGTATTCCTCTGTCTGAAGAAAACTGTGAACTGGAGTTAATAGTACAGTAAATCTTTGTAAAAGTTTTCCATAATTCACCCAATGAGTATTGGCAAAGAACACAAGATCATATAAACTCAATGATTTCAAAAAAAACTCTATCCATGACACTTTTCATTGAGTCTGTTTGAAAAAACTGAGGATACAAATTTTCAGGAGAGCAAAGCTATAAATAAAAACATTTGCTCGTTTTAAAATTCCAATAAATCCAGATATTTGACTTAATATATCTAGAGTACACACTGTCATGAGAGAAACAAATTTAATCACATTTAGTTGAAATTTTTCTTGAGAGATATAAAAGATTAAAATGTATTTATGCCCTGAGTTTGAGTTTTGTAGTCATGAATCGACATTTCATAAATTAGGAAGTCCTTTGAGGAAAAAAAAAACACATTAATTTGATTAGTGTTCTTGTATTGCACAACTAATCCAAAGCCAAAGAACAGTACTTGCAATTTTTCGGACTTTATATCAATTGACATTTGATATCACTTAAAAGTTCTGTTTTATCTGCTGTAGTTGGTTGGTTTTAATTGGAGGTCTTTCACTTTGTGTAAAAAAATTATGGTCTTTTACTCATACTTCATTTATTATTTTTTAACTAGTAGCTGAAAATTAAATTCGCTCTGATTGGCGTGCATTTAAAACAACACAAAGGACAAAAATGTGGGAGCAAGGCCAGGCTCACCCCAGATCAGCTTAATCTGAATTTCTGGCAGTGGGCCTGGGGATGAGCATTGTAATTTAAATCTCCCGGGTGATTCTGTAATAAGTAAGTGAGATTCTGTAAGTCAGCAGTGAGAACCAGAGACCTTGGCTTTTGATCATCTCTCTAGTGGATTAAAGGGAACTGTTTTTAGTCACAGAGCAGGCCTGTACTTAGCTTAGCAAGCCCACTGTGTTCACCCAGGGCAGCACTTTCCATCCCTCACAGAAAGATGCTTCCAGCCAGGCCCTTATGTTTGCTGACATTTTCCTCTCCCCCACTCCTCCCACCATTAATTTCAGCTACTGCATCTTAGTCTCTGCCCATCTCGCCATGTCCATGTCTCAATGCATATTGTTTCTGCTGCTATATATTAAAGGTCTCCTCAAAGTCCATCTAAAATCCTAATCTTTCCTTAATCAAATCAGTCTTCTACTTTTGCCCTGTGTTCAAACCAATCCCTCAGGCTGCTTAAGCAGAACGCTTCTGCTCTTTTGTGTGCTTCTTATGTTGCTTTCTAAGCATTTTAACTGCACATGTCCTCATTCTCTAAATGCTTTGGGACCTTAAAGGCAGGGAGCCAAAGCTGGTTCACTTTGACCCTAACCTACTTTATACAAGGCTGGATACACAATATGTAAACTCGCTGAATGAGTAAAATAAATGGACAACTGAATATAATTATGAATAAATTAATACTCATGAAAGAATATATAAATTAAAAATGCAGGTTTAATTTATAAATGAAAGTGGCTAAGCTCTTGCCAGAGCTCAATGAAGTAGTTTCCTCAATAAAAGAACAAAGAAGATGGGAGATGGGGGTCCAATTCTGGCCCCAATTCTGATGGCTGATTTGCAATTTCTACTCTTGTTAGTAATTGGAAAACCCATATAAGAAGTTATCATCTCTTTGCATAGGTCTGATTGCATGCATCTCTTCATTTCAACAGCTATGTCACGAATACCTGCAAGAAACCATAAGTGAGACTTCCACTCTCCTCCTCTGTCCTCATACTCCCCAGACCTATACAGACTGGGCTGGGGTGGGATATAAATCAAGTCACACTCCAGTGTGATCCATCTGACAAGGCTCTCTGTAGTAGAGGCAATGAGCTGGAAATGTGTCCTCCAAACACAGGACTTCCAAATTCGTAAATCTTCTCAAAATCTACGTCAATCACCTATTGGCATATTTTCTAAACATTATATGAACTTTTTTCCAACTTATATTATCACTTGGGATGGCATACACTTTTATAGATACTTCAATGCCAATAAAGCGCTTACACACTTACACAGAATAAGAAGTCCTAATGACTTTGCTAGCAGTATCCTGTATGCTACCGATACTCAGGGAGCTGGTATGTCCGTGTTTCAGTTATGTAGACGCTTTGTAAATTTAGGAACATAAATCTAATCTCGTATTCTTGGTCTGAGAACTAGCAATAGCTATAAAAAGCTACTATTATGATTGTGTTCCCTGCCTTTCAAAGTACCTTCACATTTTTTCACATGGCTTTTGATGATTTCATCTTACCTCTTCAGGGGTGTCAATAGCTATCGAGTTACTTCTATTTTAAAGTGAATAAATCACTCTTTTGTTATGCAAATTACAGAAAGTAGACAAAAAAGAATCCAAGAGACCAACCATCATGGCTAGCCTACGTAATTACCACACTTAGATGAAGTTCAGGAAGGTGGAGCTCCCCAGAGTGAGCAGGATGAAGTGAGCAGGTAAAGAAGAATGACGGAAACAACCCAACCCTCATGGAACTTAGCCCACTGCATTTCGTGCTACTCCAAACTATCACTCCTAGTTCATTTCTCATTTAAATGTCTTCAATTAATTTAGAATTTTGTATTGGATTTTCTTAAAGCAAGCACAGTAAAGTATAATTTACAATCTTTTTGAAGAAAGTTTGGTCACTGCCTCTCTCTAAAGCTTTTATTTTGAAAATTTAAACAATAACAACAACAACAGAGAGGAAAAGAGCATGCATGGCCCCTGTGTTTTTTTTTTTTTTAAACTAATCAAAATTTGCAGAGGATAAAGATTCCTCCAATATGCTGAATTAACTTCCTCAAAGCTAGCAGAGAGCTGGTTAATAAATGCATGTATCAATTCAAAAATAAGCAAGTGGACAAATGTGAGAAAGTCAGTTGGACATATTTACAGAGTCAGACCACTGCTGTGTCCTCATTTCTAAGAGATTTGGACAAAAGCTGATTTTTCCTCAACCCTACTCTTGAAACACATACCCCATAAGCTTGTGAGAGAATACCAGTGTGTTTATGGTGCCAGAGAATTCAATACACTTTATTTTATCCGTTGCATACCCTTTGAGTTCTGCATTGCATTTTCTTCCCTGCACTGCAAAGCATGTTGGACACTTAAAACCACTGGAGCTGAATTCATCAACATCCTTCTCCTCTAGATCACTCATTTTAATCTCCCAGGAGACTGTAAAAAAAAAAAAACAAGATAGAAAACCAACTAGTCATTTGCCATTGACAACCAGATGTACCCATTCTCACAGAACAGCCCCATAGAACTAGATCCACCCACTCCATTTACCCTCCTCTAATCATCACCCCTGCATTCCTCATGTGACACTTTCAAACTCATACAACAACACTCGAGTTACTATAAAAATCCCTGCCATTATGGAGCTCATTTTTCAGATGGAGGAAGCAGAAAGAAAACAAAGAAGAAAAAAATATGTTTTGTCAGATGATGATAAATACTACAGAGAGAGACAAAACAGGATTGGATGTGCAGGGTAGGGATGTGATTCATAGGGTGGTCAGGAAAGGTCTCACAGAAAAAGGGACAGTTTTTGAGTACAGGCCTGAAAAAGGTCTACTTCCAAACACTTACACAGGATAATGTGGTCTTACAAGTAAAGGTCACAGGTGGCAGCATGCACAGGATACTCAAAGAAGGGGCCCGAACTGACTACAAAGAGCCTTAGCTTCTCCTGCACTCTCTGCCTCTGGGGCTCCATAATAACGTCTTAGCGAACAGAAGTCTATTGACTTCCCACTTCCATTCAAGCGTTCTTGCTGCCACCTGCTGTCCTGGGCAAAGACTGGGTTTGGCTGTTCCAGTGAAAGATGTCCTGGCACAGAGTGGAGAATGGAGGGAACTATGAATAAAGAGGTGGAAATCTGTGGAAAATTAAGAGCAAGGGGCAAAAAGAAGTAAAAGCCATAGTATTTACCTGAAGAATCAGGCTATCAAAGGGTAGCTTTGATTTGTTTACCTTCCCCAAACCAGAGCCTCCTCTGTCTCTGTTAACCCCTGTGGGATGAGTAGTATGTGACAGCAAGTGACACGCCCACCTGGATCCTGTATGCCCTTTCCCACCTTGCCTTGCTACAACAATCCTGGAATTTCTTGCTCAAATAGACTGAGGTCTAACCAAGCAGTTCTCAGAGGTGGCAGCAAACGGGAGTTTAAACTTCAGCACTGGTGTGTCCACACGCATGGTCATGATTCCCTTCGTAGTGAAGAGGAATGTGCAGTGGGGAAAAGAGATGGGCTGGAGACCAGGATCCAGATCTCTCAGTGCCACAATTCTCTGGCAGGAAACTTTTATAAAAATTCCAAACCTTTCAGATCATTCTGAAGACATATATGTGCAAGTAAAAGGATAGAAAACATTTTATTTTATTTTTTAGCTTAATTGGCCCTGCAAATGTGAGGGCAGCTGGCCCTCCACCCTGGACAGGAGAAGGGGTTGGGAGGGCAGTGCTGAGGCCTGGGAGCTAGGCGCTCCCATGAAGAGAAGGAGCAGCAAAGACCAGAGATGCCCAGATGCCTCTCCACTCACTACAACCATTGGAGATCCAGGGATAACCAGGCTTACTTTCCCTGGAGAGTCTTGTTTGAGGAAGCACAATCCAAAAGTGATTTTTAAAAAGCATAGATTCAAAAGTAATTCTTAAAAGCTTATTACTTTAAAAAGTAATTTTAAAAATTAAAAAACAAAATAACAAAAATTTGAATCATTAACACTCAAGAGACCTTCCAATTCATAATGCCTCAGCAATATGTCTTATATCCCCCCTTTGCCTCTTTCTAAATTCTTTCATACCTTACTCTGCTCTAAAGCTGCTCTGTTTAATATGTCTATTTAAAATTAATTAAAATAAACTATAATTAAAAATTCGGTTTGTCCTATCAGCCTCGTTTTAAATGCTACATAGCAGCACATGGCTAGTGGCTACTGTACTGGACATCACAAATACAGACATTTTGATCACTGCAGAAGGTAATGATGAATGTAAATTAAAAGTGCAATGTGGGGCAACAGGTATTGTCATCTATTTCTGGTGGGTAAATTAGTCATAGTTCTTTTTGAGTAGAGGAGCCGGGGAATCTTTATTTACACCGGAACACTCTGCAGTGAGGTGTGGGGACCCTGCTGGAACCCCAAGGTTGGTGTGGAGATTATTTTAAGCTGTAGACATTTGAGAGTCAACAGATGCGGAAGGAAGCTTTTTCAGGACTTCACTGATCAGACTAAAACAAGCTACTGCTGGGAAATGAGGCTGCTATACATTCCCTCTTCAGGGCAAGTCTACTACTGGGAAGAAGATGGAGACTAATCCTACAGTAAGTTCCTTCTCTGGGGAGTTTCATGGCCCTGGAGAAGAAAGAACGACTGCTCCCACCTTCATAAACAAACATTATCACACACTTTCTTATCTCCTGTTTGTTCTCCTAAGTACTACATTTATCTTTCCTAAAGAAACCTGTTTGTTCTTCCCTTAGAAACCTTTTCTCCCCACTTCCTTTCCTCTACTAAGCTGGAATATAAGCCTCTAAATTTAACCATTTAACATGTTAGCTAGTTCTTTTGTTAGCTTTCACATGCCGGTGAATAAACCTTTTTTTCCTCCTGTTAATCTGCTTTTTAAAAGTTTGATTCACAAAACCTAAGAGGGTAGGTAGAAGAAAAGTTTTCCTCCTTGACAGAATACATTAATATACTTGTTATATGATCAGACAAAACAAGACAGTATGGAACAATAAGATTTTATACCAAAGGTCACGTAAATCAACTAGGCTTGATGATGAATGACATGTAGGCCTTAAACAAAAGGGTATTGCAAGAATGACTCACATACCTGTAAAGAGTAGTTGTTTCTAAACTGGTGTATTCCATGGGCTACTCAACATCTCTTAAATGTCTAATTAATTAATGCCACGTAAAAGACAGCACAAACAAAAGTGAGGTCCCAGTCTTTCGCCACCTATGCGCTTCTTCATTCATCAGTGTCAACTCAAGTGCTCTGTTACCCCTGGTTTCTGTCTCTCACATCCCGCCTCAAATATGTGAACAAAGTCCACTCTATCTGCAAAATAAATTGAGAATGTGTCTCCTGCCCCTTCTACTGCAACAATCCTGTCTACCAAGAGATGAAGGGATAAAGAAAGTGTGTTACATATACACAATATAGCACCATTCAGCCTTAAAAGGAAGGAATTTCTGTCATTTGTGACAACATGGAGGATCTGGAGAACATTATGCCAAGTGAAATAAGCCAAGCAGAGAAAGATAAACACTGCATGTTTTCACTTTTAATATAAGTAAAGTAAAATGTAAAACAACTGGACTCCTAGAAGCAAAAGAGTAGAATGGTGGTTACAGAGGGTAGGGTGTAAGGGGAATAGGAAGATGACAGTCAAAAGGTACAAAGCTTCAATTACACAAAAGTTTAAGGTTTTTTTTTCTTTTAGATCTATTGCATAGTGTGGCAAAGAAATTAATAGTGTATTGTACATTTGAAAATAGCTAATAAATATCAAATGTTCTCAGCTCAAAATAAATATTTGAAGTCATAGCTATGTTAATTATCTAAATATATTTCTTCACTATTGTATTCGTAAATCATAACATCACTTGCCACTCTTTTAATATATACAATACAGAATTGTTAACTATAGGTTACAATGCTGTAAAGCAGTCATATAGAACTTATGTAACTGAAACTGTATACCCATTGGTCAACATCTCCCTTATTTTGCCCTTTTCAAAGCCCCTGGCAACTACCCCTCTCCTCTCTGTTTCTATGAGTTTGATTTCTTTATTCTAAGATTCCACTTAAAAGTGAGACCAGGCCGGGCGCAGTGGCTCACGCCTATAATCCCAGCACTTTGGTAGGCTGTGGTGGGTGGATCACGAGGTCAAGAGATCCAGACCATCCTGGTCAACATGGTGAAACCCCATCTCTACTAAAAATACAAAAATTAGCTGGGCATGGTGACATGCGCCTGTAGTCCCAGCTACTCAGGAGGCTGAGGCAGGAGAACTGCTTGAACCCAGGAGGCAGAGGTTGCAGTGAGCCGAGATCGCGCCATTGCACTCCAGCCTGGGTAACAAGAGTGAAACTCCATCTCAAAAAAAAAAAAAAAAAAAAATGAGACCATGCGGTATTTATTTTTCTGTGTCTGGTTTATTTCACTTAGTGTAATGTCCAACAAGTTCATTTACCTTGTATAAATGTTCATTTACGTTGTTGCAAAATTTACTTTTTTAAGACTGAGCTGTATGCCATGGTGTGTGTGTGTGTGTGTGTGTGTGTGTGTGTGTATACCTCCTGAGTAGCTGGAATTACAGACATGCACCACCACGTTCAGCTAATTTTGTATTTTTGGTGTAGACAAGCTTTTAGTCATGTTCAGGCTGGTCTCAAACCCCTAAATTTAGGTGCTCTGCCTACCTTAACCTCCAAAATTGCTAGGATTACAGTCATGAGCCACTGTGCCCAGCCGAGAGGGCAATTCTTTTCAATTACTTGTTTTAATAATACAATGAAATATTTCAAAGTGACAATGTTATTCATAGCATTTGGACAAAAGACTATCTTCAAAATTTGTCATAAAACATATCCTATAAAAATATTTCACATTATATTTAAAATTTGTTACAAAACATACATTCTACCTGCCTTATAAATAATAACAACATTTCAAATTTGCCTGGTAGCAAAGAATAGCATTTATATGCTCTGTCGCCAGGCTTCAGTGCAGTGGCACAATCTCGACTCACTACAACCTTCACCTGGTACAATCTCGACTCACTACAACATTCACTTCCTGGATTCAAGCAATTCTCTGCCTTAGCCTCCTGAGTAGCTGAGGTTATAGGCACACGCCACCATGCCTGGCTAATTTTTGTATTTTTAGTAGAGAGAGGGTTTCATCATGTTGGCTAGGCTGGTCTCGAACTGCTGACCTCAAGTGATTTGCCCAACTTGGCCTCCCAAAGTGCTGGGAGCACCCGGCCCAACATCTACTTTTCATTCCAGCCACACTGGCCACTGCTTCACCCAAAATACCTGTTATAGTCTGGCTACAAATTTGCCCTGAACCTTTTTCTCTTTCTGTATGTATGCCATTCAATCCACATTCATCACATAAATGGGAACATTCTGTCTCCCAGAAGCTTCCTTCATAAGCCCAATACTGTGAAATCCTAGATTAAAGGATATACTATAGTTTACAGGACATATTTACAGGCAAATACAGTTTTACTACATTTCCTAAAGTATACAGGATATAATTACAGGTATATACAGCTATATCTACAAGTGTTTTTTGTAGCATTATTCACAATAGGCAAAATAGAAAAAATAATGCTAAATAATGAAAATATACATACACACACACACACATACATACATGCACAATGAAATATTCTTTATTTTTGAGCCTCGAACAAAATAAATCCTGCCATTTGGAACAACATGAATGAACCTGAAGGATATCATGCTAAGTGAAAAAGACAGAAAGACAAATATCATGTATTCTCTCTTATCTAAAATAGTAGACTAGCTCTTAGAAACAGAGTAGCATGTTGGTCCCCAGGGATTGAGTTTGGGGAAATGAGAAACTGGTCAAAGGGTACAAAGTTTGGTCATGCAAAACTGAGTAAGTTCTAGAGAGCTAATGTACAGCACGGTGACTATAGCTGGCAATACTTGTATACTTGACATTTATTAGGAGGATAAATCTTTTAAGTGTTGTATACTTGACATTTGTTAGGAGGATAAATCTTTTAAGCGTTCTGACCACACCAAAAGAAAAAAAAAGTATGTGAGGTGATGGAAATGTTAACTAGCTTGATGGTGGTCATGATTTCATAACATATATATCTGTAAAATCATCAATGTGTAACCTTTCATATACACAATTTCTATTTGTCAATTGTGCCTCAATCAGGTTTAAAGTAAACCAGATGAAACACATAAAAAAAGCTGCCATTATGATTCTGGATTTGTCTATTTCCATTTTTCATCTTTTATGTATGCTTAAGATTTGATATTAGTTGTACGTGAGATTAGATTTGCAATATTTTCCTGGTGTGTTGAATGCAGTAATCACTATTTATCTCTACCAGTGCTTGTTGTCTCAAATGCTGCATTATTTCACGTTAATTATGCTGGCTTTTTAAAACATTTTTTTATCCTTTGGTTAGTTATTGCCTGGTACATCTTTCATTCTTTTTCTTTTTCTCCTTGGTCCATAAAATTGTACTGGCAGGTCAGGGGAAGAACCCTACCTTCTCGTCCCCCTACCCAGGAGATGCCCTCTGAAGGAGAGCAGAAACCCAGGAGCCAGCCGCCTCAGAGGGCCTTGGAGGTGGAAAGGTTGTTGTAGTGATCTTCCCGGCTGTTGAGCAGGCTGTGGTAGGTGGCAACCTCCTGCTCCGGCTGCGACTTGATGACCATGAGACACTGGTACTCTGATTCTCCCGCTCACTGTCAGCTAGCACATCACCCAGCTGGGCTTCAACACCGCTGACCAGCGCCTGGATCTGTGCCAGCTGGGTCCCAAAGCGCGTGGCGGTTTCCGCCAGTGTGCCTTCCAAGGCCGCTTTCATGCTCAGCTGTGACTGCGGCTCAATCTCAAGACCCTGGAGGGTGCCCGCAAGTCAGTGACATTGGACCTGCTCATCTGGAGGCGCTCCATGTGGCCAGCACCTTCGCGGTTCAGCTCCTCAGTCCTTCCGGTTCAGTCCTTCCGGTTCCGGCCGCCATGACCTCACGTTGCCTTCGCACGTCACTCAGGATCTTGGTGAGAAATCGGTGTCAGGAGCCGAATCCATCCCCACACCGACCTGGCCTCCCGCTTGGCCTGCGGGCACTGACTTCCTCCTCATGGTTCTTCTTCAGGCTGCCTTGCTCTTCCTTCAGGCCTTGGATCTACATCTGCATGCCGTCCTGCCTGGATCAGCTCGCCCACCACCTGCGCACGTTCATGGCTGCCGAGGCGCATGCGCAGAGCCGCTCCGTCGCAGCCTTGGTTCGGAATGCCCTGTAGCCAGAGGGGCGCTGTGGGTCTGCAGGACAGCCCTGGCGTTCTCAGTGGTGGCACCACGAATCTTGTCCCGCAGGTCCTCATGGTCTTGTAGTAGCGGCTGCAGTCGCGGATCTTCACCTGCAGCTCGCCATTGGCCTCCTCCAGGGCGCGCACCTCGTCCAGGTAGGAGGCCAGGCGGTGGTTGAGGTTCTGCGTGGGGATCTTCTTGTTACACCCCAGCAGCCCATCGGACCCGGCCAGGACGCCGCCGTCTCCCCAGGCGGAGGACGAGGACACGAAGCGGAAGGAAGACACCGACACGCCGCGGCTGCTGGAGCTCACGCCCATGCTGGGTGCGCCAAAGGCGCCCTCCGCCCCAAAATACAGGGAGCTGTCGCCCAGGCTCCCGAAGGACAATGTGCTGGACAACGGGCGACAGCCGTCGGAAGTCATGGTGAGGCGGAGGACAGACCGAGCTACCCTGGTCCCAGGAGCTGCGATTGGCGGGAGGAGCCATGTCTTTATTCTTTCATAGCCTCAGTCTTAAAGGTGTCTGCAATCATAATAATGTATAATCAGATAATCTCAAGTATTTTACTAGGAGCATTTAGTTCAATTCCATATTTTATTGTTAGACGATATTTGTATATATTTATGGGGCACATGTGATATTTTGACACATGCATGCAATGTGTAATAATTACTGGTATAATTGGGGTTATATGTTAGCTGAAACTTCTAACCATATTCTATTTGGCTCTTATGTTTCATGTGTCGTATTCATTCTTCCATTGCTTCTTTTAGAAATATCAAATCTTTATTTTGTCATTTTATAAACTTGTTTTGGTGTTTACTATAAATATGTACTCTTGCTATACTAAAGTTTAACACAAATTACTACTTCTCTACTTCTTCAATATTGATATAACTTTATCTTCAACATGATTTTTGTACATTGAAGTTTTGCATAAATTTAAACGGCATATTACATTAAAATTATTGCACAGTCAATATTGATGACTCATTTGCATATTACCCTTTGGGGTTGATGTTTATCATTCCTGCTTATATTTCTGTGTTTCCTTTTAAATTAATTTATCTATGGTTGAAGAATTTTTTTCCACTTTTGTTTATTGGAAAAATTATTTTACTGTCATTTTTTATAATTTTTGTTACACTCAATCTACATCTACTTCACCCCTATTACTGAAACGTGGTCCTACTGGGCTCTTGATTGAGAAGCTGGTAGATATCTCTATCCTCAGTCTTGAAAACATTTCTCCCCATATCAATGTGGCTCATTAACTTGTGTCCTCTGTATCTTTGCTCAACTATAACCAGAGTGAAGATTAGCCTAACTCCCTATATAAAATGTGACCTATTCAGCTCAAGATTTTCTGGCACTTTTCTTCTGATAATACTCCATGTCTTCTTCTCAATTACCAAATTTATTTTCTGTTTACACCCTTTAAGTGCTAAAAAGATGAAGATTTTTATTTGTTTTGCTCATTGATGCATCCTCAGTTTGTAGAACAGGGCCAGCACCCTATAGGTGCCCAGTAGTTGTCTGTTGAGTGAATGGATGAGTTGGGGCCTAAAAGAAGATGGTATAATCATGGAAAGTTATCTTTGTATCCTCATACTTGAAGGTGAAAAAGAGCATTCTGAAGAGGGGAAAGCCCTGTGAAACCTTGGGTATGGAAAGAGCTATAGTGTTTCCAGGATTGGAGTATGGCCCTCCCAGATGGAGAGGCAATACTATGTAGAAAAGGCCATAGACGCCACAAGAGGTAGCACATGCAGTAGTCAGGGGCAGAGACACCAACCTGCCTGCCTGGGCTTAAATCCCTGTTGAGCATTTTATAAGCTGCATACCCGTGGTCAAGTTACATCAATTTACCCATGGAATCTCAGTTACATCAACTGTAGAGTAAGGCTAATAATAGGCTGTGAGAATGGAAGTATTCCACACATGTAACACTAAAAATGGTGTCAAATCATGAGATAATCACACAAGTTGTTATAATTGTTATTATATTATTTGTTAAATAAATTGATAAAATACAACCATGCATATACATTAAACTGTGATTTGATATTGTATTCTTAGTATGTGTCACCATTGGCTTGAACAGGGAGAAGTGTGAGAAACCTCTGTACTTCTCTGGTTAAGAAAGACTATGAATAAACGAATTCTACTCCAGATAAATGTGTTCCGGATAACCCATGTCTCTGGTCCAATTTTGGGAGGTTTGATTTCTTACATGATCACAGTAGATAAGAACTTGATTGAAAACACATTCTAGAAATTCTGATGGAAGAAAAATCTCAACTGTACATTTAGAATCTCTGAGGTTTTGAAAGTGTTTAGCCCCAAATGCCTATGGATAAATGAACCACTCACCCCTGAGGATTTCCTGCTTGGGGAAGGTCAGGGAAAGCCTCAAAAGCTGTTCTGTCACCTGTGAAATGTGGATGACCTTAACTTCACCCACAGAGGGCAAGGGTAGGATGAGGTGGTGACTGAAAACCGTTTAAAACAGAGTGGATGCTGAGGAACAATCCGAATATGGTGTGATTTCATACTCATCACTAAGCCCAGGATGATATCCAAACGTAAATTTTCTATGTGATCTAAGGTGCCGAAGTGTCATAAACACAGATTTATTTTCAGAGTTCTCAACCGTAATCCTTTTTTAGGACTTTTGGCTCAAGGGACTGGACTAGAGATCAATGCTATGAGGGAACATCATCTCAATAGGAGAGAAGAACATTGGGCTGAAACCCACTGAATAGCAACTGAGGGAGTGAGACATCACCACAGTATGCCGATTGTTTGTTGGAAGGACACCTAAGGTGAGGAGAGAGACGCTAAGGAGACAGGACCAACTTAAGTTCTTTCACACTTTAATATGGAGCTTTTTGCAATCTCAGCACTTTTCTCAATGCCCCTGTGACATCCTTATTCCTGAAACTGTAAATGATAGGATTCAAGACAGGTATAAGGATAGTGTAGAAAAAGGACACCATCATATCTTTCTCAGGGGTGTGGTAGGAGCTGGGGAGCATGTAGCTGTAAATAGCAGCTCCATAGAAGAGGGTGACCACTGTAATGTGGGAGGAGCAGGTGGTGAAGGCCTTTTTCCGACCCTCAGCTGAGTTCATCTTATGGATGGTGAGGATGATAAAGTAGTAAGACACTGAAATAACTGTCACAGGGATCAGGAGCATGATGACACAGCACAAGTACATGAAAATCTTATAAAGTGAGGTGTCTGAGCAAGAGAGCTTCAAAACAGCAGGGACCTCACAGAAGTAGTGCTGAATCTCATGGGATCTGCAGAAGGGAAAGGTCATGGTGATGGGAGTGAGCATGAAGCCATCCACTGAGCCCACGAACCAGCAGCCTGAGACCAGGAAAAGACATATCCTATGGTTCATGAGCACAGAGTAATGGAGAGGTTGGCAGATAGCCACATAGCGGTCATAGGCCATGGCGGCTAGAAGGCAGCACTCCGCTCCTCCCAGCTGCAGGTAGAAGTACATCTGGGTCCCACACCCAAGGACTGAGATTGTCTTCTCTTTGGCCAGCTGGTTCGCCAGCATTTTGGGGACAGTGACAGAAATATATGTCAAGTCTATGAGTGAGAGCTGGTTAATAAAGAAGTACATGGGAGTATGCAAAGAGGAGTCAATGTGGATCAGAAGTATCAATATAATATTTGAAGACACCGCCATTAAAAATATACCGAAGATAAGCAAGCAGAGGAGGCCAGGGTGTGAGATCTGGCTAAAGATTCCCAACAGGAAAAAGTCATCACCTAGGGTCCGGTTGGCCAGCCACATGTTGGAATGATGGGTTGAGGTGGCTTTACTTAGAGGACAAAAGTAAATTTTATGTTTTTTATAATCATGTTGCACCATACATAAGTATGTTTGCTTTACTTTAATTTTTAAAAATAACTGAAAAAATTAGAGATTATTTCTAACATCAACTCTGAATTTGCACTAAAAAAAGCACATTAGATTGTGAATCTGATTCACCATCTTGAATGATAATATTTATATTCTCAATAAAGATGTCCATACAACTGAAATTAAAATATTTCTTATAGGAGATTGTATAGTCACTAATATTTTTTGTTATTTTTACTCGTATATGTTTACATTTGTTATATTTTGGGGTGTTAGTGTCTTATAGTTGCATGCACCTATATTGCTCAAATCCCATTCCCATGGGATTTTAAAGAGCTAATAATGAATATTATAAGTGTTTCTACATATTTGACCTTCAAGAGTCATTTCTACAAAAAAGGATTAGTAATACTTGTGTTTCTTAATATTAAATATCTTGTTACAAATCTATGTGCATACAATATTTTAATATTTAAAGCAATATCTTAAGCAACAAGCAATTGTACACATTTGAAACATAAAATCTCAAAACCTTTATACTATAAACAGTTAACAATTTGGTGAAATACCTTTAAATGTATTAGTAAAGACACTAGTACATTTGTCAATTTTTTCTAAAACGATTTAAATGCTTTTACCTACATGTGATTTAAAAATATATTTTTATACTTCCACTTAACCTATTACAAAGGTATTAATTTTGTGAGTTATTTATTCATATTTTCACGATTTCCATAATGATGTTTTAATTTGTTGGGGTTCTGCCAATCTTTCAAGATATCAAAAAAATTATGGCTATCTCAGATAAATGATGCTTCAGGAATCAGCATTATCATCCAATCAGTAGTTTATTCTGAGGTGATTGGGCTGAATTTGGAATTTGGAATTTCTTGGTCTGAACATTCTTTATAAAATTAAAGTAAAATGTAATTTGATTTCACAAGCCCACATGTTTTCTTACAACCTCTCCATTTTGCCTATAAAATCTTGGTGAAAGGAAGTTTGCCTCAATTTATACTTACCTTATTGTGACATCCAACATATTTATTGTATATGAGTTAGTCATCCTATGGTTTCTTTTCTTAATGATTAAAGCATGGGGTCTCTGAAGTTGGAATTTTCTTTTCTTTTGCTGCCTCCTCCTCCTCCTCCTCCTCCTCCTCCTCCTCCTCCTCCTCCTCCTCCTCCTCCTCCTTCTTTTAAGACTACTCAAGTGCACTAGTGAGAGGGGAGGAAAAAGTAGAACAAAGAATTCTACCTGTAACTGGCTATAAACAGTCAGTTGAGATAACTCACTATCTTCAGATCATCCAAGTTCCAATTTCTTCTCAGAGCATCTAGTCAGTTAATCACTTTGTAATTGACTATGGAAGTCTTCCAGCTGGTTATTTTTGGAGATCAGTGGTGCTGGTCAGCACTTTCCTGTTGTTGATAGCATTTTCAGAATTCTGAAATTGCTCAGAATTCTGTGACTTACATATGGATGCCCATTATTATTATTTTCTTCTTAGATAAGGAAAATGCATATCTATTCTTTATAAAATAAATAAAGTTTTAGATATCATTAATGTTCAATATCTTAATAACAGGTGTCAAATGTTTAAATAAAACACACATTATATTCATCCTTTTTATATTGCAATTTCTCTTTTGTATCCTTTTTTACATTTCAACTTACACTTTGTATTATTCTTTGTTATCATTAACTTAAAATTTGTAAATAAGAATTATTGTAATTGGTCATTATTATTTTCTTTTTTATTTCAAACATTTTTCCCTGGTCAAGACTAATCTCTTTGGATTCTTTTTCTTTTGTTTTAGAGATTCTTAACAAAAGAGGTCACAGAAAGCATAAGAATAAAGTAATATCAGTTTTTAACAAATTGTTTTATTATGTTAAAAGGTTTAAAACCAAAGGGGACTGAAGGTATTTTCAGTAAATAAACATCATATCATTGGCCATAACAAATGGTAGATTGTTTAAGTCAATTGTAATTAATAAATTAATTACTAGACTAATTAAATAAGAAGCTATTTTTTCCCAGAGCAGAAAGCAATTTTCTAAGTATAAAGGCAAAATAAAGAATTCCCAATAAACTTCAAAAAATTGGTAAAATTATTCAGTAGATTGTAAAAGACAACAAAGCAACATTATCTAGAAAGATTTGAAAAAAAATTACCATCTAAGAATGAAGCATATATATATCCAGCAGTAAGGCAGAATAGAGGCCCTTCCTCTCAGATATCCAAGAACTTAGAAAGTAGAGAATCCCGGTAAACCGTTTCAGAAATTCAGTATCAGCCCATTTCCAGCCAATGTCGGTCAAGGTCTATCCCACAAAATAAGACAAAACAAGTGCAAAATGTGAGAGTCATGGTATACCTGGGCTGAAGTAAAAACCTGAGACAAATAAAACACACGTGTGCCAAACTGAATGGTAATCATCCATTTGTATCACATAATGTCTCAAAGAAAAATCAAGAAACAGACATAAAAGGGGTGAGGAAGAGTAGACTCAATGGAATGTCCACAATTTATAGGAGATAAACATTTTCACTTATTGCCTGGCTTCTCCGTGAAATAAGTAAAGTATATTTAATGTCAACTCCCAAAAATGGAGTCCGTTTAGGGACGGTGTCCAGATAAGACTGGTGCCTGTTAGAGCTGATTAACTCTGGGTAAGGAGGCCTTGTTCCAAATGGAACAGGTGGTTTACAATGAGTACAATTATGCGCATCAGTAGTGAGACGGACATCAGCTAGTCAGGGTGAGCGTATCTCGGGTTTATCCAGGAGGACAAAAGTGAGAGTGGATATAGCATTTCTTGGCCATGTAGTTCAATCTACTGTTCTTCCACAGACACTGAAACAAGGAGACCCAGTTTATAAAGCTGCAGAACAATAAGTCTCCTTAACCAAATCAGATAATGTGTATACTTCTAGGAAACCAATGGCACCAGCACAGCCAGCCATGCAAGACAGAAGAACAGCAATTAGGTTCATTCAAAAGCAATGCAGTATTTTCAAGCTGAATTGCTATTTCTAAAACTAAACCTTCATGATGAAGCAAGCAAACTGGTTGTCACAGGCTTCAGAGTAGTAACAGCTGCACCATCGGAAGGAGAGGACCCCCCCTCCTTCTTGAGTGAGCATTGATACTCCAAAGTGATGTGCCATGCTTCGCCAAAGAGGTAGAATTATGATGTTCACCATGAGGCTTAAACCTCTATCAACCCTCTCTCACTCATCCACATGTTCCTCATTTATGGTCTTGGAGTCAGTTTTTAAAACTAAAGGGAAAAAAGGAAGAAGGAAAGGAGGTTGGAAGGAAGAGAGGTAAAGAAAACTGTAATAGTCAACATTGCTCCGATTTTTAGAGAAAAAATTTAAGTCACATTTGCCTGGAAAAAAATACCACCAGGAAGAAAAGCCTCAAGATCTGAAATCAATTGTTTTTGGATTTAGCTCTCTTATTTTCTGAGGTATGTTGCAAGTCACCTAAAACTTGAGTATTTTTTTCCCATATATGCCTGTAGGGATATACACTATTTATTTCTACAGCCTAATTAATAGGATTGCCAAGAGGTTCAGATATGATAATATGCATAGCAAGTACTTTCTAAATTATAGCTTTGTGTGTAATATTAGGTTAAATACGTTTATAATAAATGCTAGTTATTTTATGTGATCTATAATGATTAATATATGATATGTAATTATATATTAGTATGTTTTACTAATTAATGTTATATTTGCTGTATTAAATATTATGTTAACTATGTTATATTGGTAATTAATAATTATATCAATTGATATATAATTCTATAATAATGCATATATTTATGGATTATTAATTATTAAATATTAATAAATTTTAAATTTAATATTTGATAAATAAACTATTTCTTTCTTAGTGGACCAAAGGAAGAAATATCATACCCTGAGGAATTTTATTTCCAATAAGATGATTCCAGTATAGTTGTCTCGATGAACGAAAGCCTTGTCATTTTCACTTTGATCAATCTGCTCTATGAACAGTGAAACACCAGCCTGCTTTTCTGCAAAAGAGTTGCAGGTGATACAGCACTGATGAACTTGATATGAACTTGAGGGCTCTCCCTGAAGAGCAGCTGATGCTACTCAGTCTAACATCTGTGGTCTTGTGACGACAAACTTGAAGAATGATGCTCTCCTCAGGGACCCCTCACAGGGCTGTGGTGACCTCCCTGAGAGCAGTGCTGGAGGAGTCTCTCTTTAGCCTTTGTTGAATTATAGGGCCTGATTCTGTAGACTTTTCTAACTGCCTAACTCCTATAACCCTCCAAAGGACAATAAGTATCTAGTAATAGCACACAGACTTCCCCAGAATGTTTCCTTAAAGACCACTTCTCTCACCAGTCAAATCATTTGCATCATCCTGCCATGAGGGAAAAGCGTGAAACAAGCCCAAATCAGACCATTGATAACACATTTAATAGAGTATATTCTTCTATATATGTTTACTGGTTTTCTTAGTAATAACTGATCACTGTAGAAAATTTAAAAGCTAAATATTATTATAAAAAGGAGAAGTAACAATACATAGTCCAGAATGCCAAAGATAACTAAATAGTTTGGATTTTCCTTTTTTTTTTTTTTAGCTATTTTCATATAGTTAATATAATTAATATGATTTTCTTTATAGAATTTTGTATCCATTTCATTTCTCTTTGAAAATATTATGACCACATCTTAATCCAAAGTATGTTTGTATTTGAGTGTACATAGATGTAAAACTACTAGATATTTGTATTATTTCTAATTTTTCTTATTTATGCAAACATAGTTGTGCATAAGAAACTATTTTATATAGTTTCTTATCTTTTATATAGTTTCTTATCTTTTATATAGTTTCTTATCTTTTATATAGTTTCTTATGCACAACTATGTTTGGCATAAAATATAGAAACTATATAAAATATAGTTTCCATGTTTAGTTTCTATGTAAAAATATAAAAAACTATATTTTATATAGTTTCACCTACATTAGGCATTTCTCCCAATGTTATCTCTCCCCAGTCTCCCACTGCCAGCTACCCCTCCCCTCGCTTCCTACTCCCAACAGACCCCAGTGTGTGATGCTCCCCTCCCTGTGTCCATGTGTTCTCATTGTTCAACACCCACCTATGAGTGAGAACATGCAGTGTTTGGTTTTCTGGTCTTGTGTCAGTTTGCTGAAGAGGATGGTTTCCAGATTCACCCGTGTCCCTGCAAAGGACATGAACTCATCCTTTTTCTTATAGATGCATGTATTTCATGGTGTATATGTGCCACGTTTTCTTTGTCCAGTCTATCACTGATGGGCATTTGGGTTGGTTCCAAGTCTTTGCTATTGTAAACAGTGCTGCAATGAACATATGCATGCATGTGTCTTTATAATAGAATGATTTATAATCCTTTGGGCATATACCCAGTAATGGAATTGCTGGGTCAAATGGAATTTCTATTTCTAGGTCCTTGAGGAATCACCACACTGTCTTCCACAATGCTTGAACTAATTCACACTCCCACCAACAGTGTAAAAGTGTTCCTATTTCTCCACATCCTCTCCAGCATTTGTTGTTTCTGGATTTTTTTAATGATCACCATTCTAACTGGTGTAAGATGGTATCTCAATGTGGTTTTGATTTGCATCTGTCTAATGACCAGTGATGAGCATGTTTTCATATGTTTCTTGGCCACATGAATGTCTTCTTTTGAAAAGTGTCTGTTCACATCCTTTGGCCACTTTTTGATGGGGTTGTTTTTTTCTTGTAAATTTGTTTTAGTTCTCTGTAGATTCTGGATATTAGTCCTTGTTAGATGGGTAGCTTGCAAAAATTTTTTCCCATTCTCTTGGTTGCCAGTTCACCCTAATGATTGTTTCTTTTGCTGTGCAGAAGCTCTAGAGTTTAATTAGATACCATTTGTCTATTTTGGCTTTTGTTGCCATTGTTTTTGGTGTTTTGGTCATGAAGTCCTTGCCTATGCCTATGTCCCGAATGGTATTGCCTAGGCTTTCTTCTAGAGTTTTTATGGTGTTAGGCCTCATATTTAAATTTTTAATGCATCTGGAGTTAATTTTTGTATAAGGTGCAAGGGAAGGGTCCCATTTCAGCTTTCTGCACATGGCTAGCCAGTTTTCCCAACACCATTTATTAAACAGCAAATCCTTTCCCCATTGCTTGTTTTTGTCAGGTTTGTCAAAGGTCAGGTGGTTGTAGATGTGTGGTGTTGCCGCCAAGGCCTCTGTTCTGTTCCATTGGTTGATATCTCTGTTTTGGTACCAGTACCATGCTGTTTTGATTACTGTGGCCTTGTAGTTTAGTTTGAAGTCAGATGGTGTGATGCTTCCAGCTTTGTTGTTTTTGCTTAGGATTCTCTTGGCTATGCGGTCTCTTTTTTGGTTCCATATGAAGTTTAAGTTGTTTTTTTCCAGTTCTTTGAAGAAGGTCAATGGTAGCTTGATGGGGATAGCATTGACTCTATAAATTACCTTAGGCAGTATGTCCATTTTCATGATATTGATTCTTCCTAACCATGAGCATGGAATGTTTTTCCATCTGTTTGTGTTCTCTCTTATTTCCTTGAGCAGTGGTTCGTAGTTCTCCTCAAAGAGGTCCTTTACATCCTCTGTTAGTTGTACTCCTAAGTATTTTATTCTTTTTGTGGCAATTGTGGGAGTTCACATACGATTTGGCTCTGTCCGTTACTGGTGTATAGGAATGCATGTTATCATGTAACACCCACATGGAAAACTCTTCAAGGACTTCCAACCCCACTCAACCAAATTCAAAGTGCCTTAAGTGTTGTTGTTGAATCTCACAGAACTTAGAAAATAGAAGTTTTTGGCCATGGATGTTCATGAATCTAGTGTCCTGAGAGTGGCACAGGAATGTTCTCTGATGCTAAGTATTTAGAATCTATTCCCTGTGAATAGTTTTGTAATGCTTGAAACTCGACCCATTTATACTCTGTTCTGTTCAATTCACCCACCATTTATTATGGCCTACTATTTGACAAGTGTACTCAAGAATGTAAGAGATTCAAAGATAATATTAGATCTGTAGGGAACCAGCTCCACACCCCACCCGTGGGTACCCTGAGTTTGATGGTGGCAAAGGAATGAGAAAAAGACATATTAAGAGTGAAAGGGACCATGTGACCATCACTTTTTACTGGAGACAGTGAAGGTCCCGAGCACTGATTTTTCACAGTATTTATTGGTTATAATCACTTTGATCTAGAGGGTAGGGGTGGAGTAACGGTGGGGAGAGGGTGATGTGATGGTGGGGTGAATCACTGAGCCAGAACTGAATCAGTGAGCTGGAACTGCTGAGTCATTCTAAAGATTGATAACAGTGGCAGTTTGGGAGTTTTGCAAAACAAGGACATGTGTTTACCTTTGGCTTATTATCTATGTACAGCTGATGGAATGCAGGCCTTACAAGGAGCCTGCAAGCCTGGCCACGTCATAGCACTACAAGGGGTTTTACGCCCTTGAGCAGTGTTCATGGTGGCAGAGCCGAGGTCACCCTGCACCAGAACGTCAGGCCTGGGGAAGTTTGCCTCCCCAGAGGTCTGCTGCGGTTCGTTGTTCCCAATTTATGTTACTCACAACCAATTTATATAGGCACTGTGTAAGTCCTTTCTCCTTTGCTGCTTCTCCCAGCAATCTTACAGCTACATGTAATATAGCTGTAATACTATAATAAAAAACGTGACTAAAGTGTGTGCTTTATCTACTTTGCCACTTGTGCATTGGCATTCTTTTACTCTATTCCTACAAAACTAATCACAGAATTTTTGACTAAATACTTGATAGCTTTTGTAGATTTTTCCCCCTCATTTTGTATTGTTTAAACATGAACAAATATTGTGAAGGAGATCTAGTTCAGAGTGAAAGGTTGCTGTGAACTCTAATATTTGGAGTTTTTCTTCCCTAGAGAAAATAAACAGGCACAGATAAATTATTTAACTTAATAATAAATGAGTTGATACACTGAAAGATCTCTATATAACAGTAAAATATCTTTCCCTTTCTCCCCTTAGGAGCAAGAATCCAGACAAGGTGAATCATCTTAATTGCCAATAGTAAGTATACTCTGAGAGCTGACCAAATAATCTCTAGTGAAGCAGGGCACGTGGAGGCGGTTCTTACGAAGCCCTATCCTCTTGGCAATGAAGCTCTAAGCATCACCTGTTGCTACTTTCTGAGCTCATGAGCAACATGCAAATACCTTTTGAATGCCCCCATGACATCCTTGTTTCTGAGGCTGTAGATGAGGGGATTGAGCATAGGTGTGACAATGGTGTAGAAGGCTGACACCACTTTGTCCTGCTCAGGGGTGTGGAATGACGGCGGCAGCACGTATGTGTAGAAGGCAGCTCCATAGAAAATGCTCACCACAGTCAAGTGCGAGGAACAAGTGGCGAAGGCCTTTTTGCGACCTTCAGCTGAGCGCATGCGGTGGATGGTGAACAAGATGAGGGAGTAGGAGGTGGAGATGATAGAGATGGGGATGAGCAGCATGAGGACGCAGCAGATGTACATCAGAGTCTCATACAACGATGTGTCAGCACAGGCCAGTTTGAGAACTGCGGGGATCTCACAGAAGAAATGGTTGATACTGCGGGAGCCACAGTAAGGGACATTCATGGTGATGGGAGTGAGCAGAAAGCCATCCAGGGAGCCGCCAAACCAAGCACCAGCAGCCAGCGACACACACATCTTGCGGTCCATCAGGACTGGGTATCTCAGAGGGTTGCAGACAGCCACGTAGCGGTCATAGGCCATCAGGCCCAGTAGGAAGAACTCAGAACCAATCATGGTCAAGTAGAGGAAGATCTGGATGCCACAGGCCACAAAGGAAATGGTTTTCTCTTTAGAAACCATGTCCACCAGGAGCTTGGGGACAGTGGTACAGATGAAAAGGGTGTCCATGATGGACAGCTGACTGAGCAGAAAGTACATGGGGGTGTGGAGGTGAGAGTCCACCTGGATCAAGAATGTCATGATCAAATTTGCAGTGACAGCCACTACAAAAACAGCCAAGATCACTGTAAACACAACCCCCACAGCCTCACTGTTCACCAGAAGCCCCAGGAGGATGAAGTCAGAGGATGACGTGGTGTTCTTCATTGATATTGCCTGTGACGGTTCCAGGGGAGAGGAAGACACAGCAGCAGGCGGGAAGCAGGAGAACACATTCAAGACGGGAAACGTCTGCAGTGGAAATGACCCTTTGGAGGTTCCTGGTCAGGAGGAAGTTTTCCAGAGTAGAGGCTGGGGAAGAACAAGACTGACATGCACATCACAAAGCAGACACTGTGGCTGTGTTTCTCTTTGTCAGAGAACAGCTCTTTATTGTGTCTGTGCTCATGCTGCCGCAGGTTATGGTAACTGCATGATAAAATTGCTCTTTGCTATAACCAAAAATGGGGTTTTAGCCATGTACGTTCTGTCCATGCTGCTTTTCTTGTATCCAGAAAGTTATCTAACCCATAGTCGGGTTAAGTAAATACTAGTTGGAAAAAAAGGGATGATGGATTCATCGATTGACGGAATGGATAAAGGCGAGAGACGCAAATAACTGAGGAAATGAGGGGTTAGAATGACTTTTGGGGCTTCATGAGTAAAATGTTCCCTATGTATCTGTTCTTCTATTATTTCTTTTTCTTTCTTTTTAAAATTAATTGCTTAAGTTTAGGGACTACGTGTGCAGTGCCATTACCTGGATGTGTTGCATGGCAGTGGAGTCCTGACTGTTACTGTAGCCATAATTCAAATAGCGTAGACTGTGCACATACTGGTTTCTCACCCCTCTGCCCCCTTTCGGCCCCCTGCTCTTCCAAGTCTTCCATGCCTATTATTCCACTGTTTATCTCTAAAGTTGGGCCTTCTCACTGTTGCTTGCACTGTTTTGCAAACCTTTTTGTAGATCTTTCTTCAGGTAGTTTTTTACCTTCTAAGTAATTTGCAAATAGCTTCCAGAATTAAATTTTTAAAAAGCAGTTCATGACACTAAACTGGTTCCCTGCACGGCTCCCCATTGCTGCTGTACGTTTGGGAAACGGACAGGGAAGTTACAAGTGAAATGGTGGCAGGTTAAGGCTACGTCAGCAGGAGGCACACAGGAGCAAGTTTAGCCAAGCTACACATCTGCCAGCGTCTACCTGAACTGAGACCAGGGCTCAACTCAGGTGTAGGAAGCTACGGACCAGCTATACAGGAATGTGACGGCAACGGGCCACAGTTTAAGAAGGGATTTGATCTTTAACTTATATCAGGTGGTAGAAAGATTTAAATGTTAAAAAACAAAAAGGAAAAGAACCATACATGTAGTAAAGTAGCACCCTCTTCCTGCCACCCCCGTCCCCCGAGTGGCAGGCCTCAGTGGCTTGAGTCTCAAACATTTGTGTCTGTAAAAATGAAAGTTCAATCAAGCCCAGATGCACGCTGCAGGGTTTTGAAAAATTAATTTATTTTTCCCTCATTCACATGTTGCTAGACACCTTGGCCTGGCTATTCGGTGTTGCCAGAGTTAGCAAATAAAAATACAGGATCCTCAGCTATATTTGACTTTCAGATAGTCAAAAAATGTGTTTTAGTATAAGTGTGTAATATATTTATACCAAAAAAGAGGGTTCATTGTTTATCTGAAATTCAAACTTAGCTGGTTTGTCCTTTACCATGCTGAAGTCATACCTGGTTTCCCAAAGGTCTCAGAATTGTTATGACATTAAAACATGACCAATAGAATCAGTACAAACTAATTCATAGAGTCTAATACAAATACGTTATATATTAACATCAAAACTAAATTGGCTGACTCCCAATTTTCCTCTGATTGATAAGCTCAGATTACTGTGAAAGTGACTCAAGGCTGTGGCCTCCCAGAAACACTCTGTGGTCAGAACTCTAACTCTACGTCAGTGAGTCTTAGCCTCCTGATCCACTCCTGATCCTGTGGTCAGAGCTCTAACTCTACGTCAGTGAGTCTTAGCCTCCTGATCCACTCCTGATCCTGTGGTCAGAGCTCTAACTCTACGTCAGTGAGTCTTAGCCTCCTGATCCACTCCTGATCCTGTGGTCAGAGCTCTAACTCTACGTCAGTGAGTCTTAGCCTCCTGATCCACTCCTGATCCTGTGGTCAGAGCTCTAACTCTACGTCAGTGAGTCTTAGCCTCCTGATCCACTCCTGATCCTGTGGTCAGAGCTCTAACTCTACGTCAGTGAGTCTTAGCCTCCTGATCCACTCCTGATCCTGTGGTCAGAGCTCTAACTCTACGTCAGTGAGTCTTAGCCTCCTGATCCACTCCTGATCCTGTGGTCAGAGCTCTAACTCTACGTCAGTGAGTCTTAGCCTCCTGATCCGCTCCTGATCCTGTGGTCAGAACTCTAACTCTACGTCAGTGAGTCTTAGCCTCCTGATCCACTCCTGATCCTTTAAATTCTATTCCATTTCCCAAGGATAACTGAACACAAATATTGTCTAAAAATATATTCTGCTAAAGTCCAAAAATATAAAGGAAACATTCTATTTGAGACTCCCAAAACTTCCTAATAAAGTTAACCCACACTAAGAATAGAGTACATCTCTTTGTCCTTTAAACAAATTCAAACATTTTTATCCAAAAAGTGTAAAACAGTAGAAACAGGCCAGGTGTGGTGGTTCATGCCTGTAACCCCAGCACTTAGGGAGGCCGAGGTGGAAGGATCACTTGAGGCCAGGAATTTGAGGTGAGCCTGGGCGACATAACAGAATGCGTCTTTAAAAAGTATAAATGAATTAGCCAGGTGTGGTGGTGCATGTCTGTCACTTGAGCCTGGAGTCTGAGGTTACAGTGAGCTAAAATAAAACATTTATTTATTAACAAACTAGCAATTAAATATGTGTAGTATTTCTCATCATGTCCATGGCCAGAAGTCGCCTGGCTTAATCCATCATTACACACTCACCTGGCTTGTTCCGCAAACTTTCCCACACTCTCCCTGCTCTCTCCCGTGAATTCCCAGTCTAGTCTCAGCACAGCCACTGCAGTCACACTGAGACCCTGCATCAGAGCAGGTCACTTCCACTCACATCCTGCAGTTGTGCTTTCCATCACACTTTAAGGCCCATTGCATTCTGAGCGATTTGTCCTCTCAAGTGATCGCCTGCTTACTCCCGTCTGTTTGTGCCTGTGCTCCAGCTACCATGGCTTCCTCGCTGGTCCTCTGTCCCCACTTGGCAAGAGCCCTGAGCCCAGGCCTTCGGCTCTGCTGCTCCCCTGGCCTGGGGCTCCCCCGGACCTCTGTGCAAGGTCATCCCCTCCTGTCCTACAGGGTGTTGCTCAAAAGCCACCTTTTCAGAGGGGCCTATTCTGCGCCCATGACTGGACTTTTCTTTTCTTAGCGCCATCTGACACACTACAGTTTGTTTCGTGTTTACCTTTTCACACCAGAAAGGAAGCTTCATGGAAATGAGCACTTCTGCCTATTTCCTTAACTGTGCACTCTCACCATCTAAAGAAATGACTGGAATGTTGTAAATCTTTGTTGAATAAATCATTTTCAAACACATTCAGCCAGCAAAAAATGCACATTACTTCTATGTTTTTTTTTAATATGATAAACCTCTAGTAAAATTCTTTCAAAACGTCTCCCGATTTTATAAAATGTGTTAAAGAGAAATAATTCTTTTAATGCCAGGTTCTTGTGATAATCTTCACTGAAAAATAAAATGAACATAAAATGGGATCCACCCACATTTTATAAAAAGAAATTTCATTCTAGTAAACAAAAATAAATCACAAGTTTTTAAGATCAAACAGCAATATAACTTTTACTTCTAAATCATTAAGGTTTATCTATAGTACAAATTTGAGACAATTACTCTCTGTGGTTTAAAATAAACACAGTTATAGGGTAACTAAGATGTCAGCATAATTCACAAAAAAAGGAGTGACTTGCCACTTCCTCTGCCCTCTGATTCTGTCCTTGCTATGACAGCTCTTCATTCAAGTAGGTACCAATTAATAGGTTAAAGATAACTTCAGATTCAAATGTTATTATATATCCAGAGATTGTATTGTATTGTAGATGTTCATAAGATACTTTGAATTCACCTTATGTTAAACAGATAAAAAGACAGAAAATTATTGTCTATGATTTGTTGCAGTAGCAGATTTCCGTCTGCCTTCTATTATCAGAAAAATTGTCTTAAGTAAGGCCATAGGGCTTATGATTAACTTGCTACTTTGTTAAATTGAATGACAGTGTAATAGACTTAGTTTAGTGTTAAATGGAACCAAGTGTGGGCAGAATAATCTTCCACCTCCAGCAAAAGTCCTTATCTGCTGTCTCTGGAACCAATGAATATGCTCTCTTACGTTGCAAAAAGACTTTGCAGATATGATTAATTTAAGAATTCTGAGATGAGGTGATTATTTTGAGTTACGCTGCTGGACTCAACATAAATGCCACGGTCTTACAAAGGAAAGGGGAGGCGGGAGAGTCAGAGACGTGACTTGGAAAACAGGTCGGAGGGATTCAGTCAGTCTCTGGGTTTGACAATAGAAGGGACCCCAAGCCAAGGAATGTAGGTGTCCTCTAGAAACTGGAGAGGGCTAAGAAATGGATTCTCTCCTAAAGCCTCTAGAAAAGAAGGTACCCTCCCCAACACCGTGAGTTCAACCCAGTGAGAACAATTTTCAACTTCCGATCTCCAGACTGTGATATTATCAATTTTGTGGTAATTTGGTACCACAGCCATAGGAAACGTCTATGCCAATAAATAATTTTCTTAGTTTTTAAACTAAAGGGAGATGTGTTGCAATGATAAATTGGCCAGCACTTGCATGGGGCTTACTGGGTCCCAGGCATCATGGCACATGTGCCAGTGTTTTGACGTGCCCTTCACAGCAGCTCCATGGGGCCGATTACTGTAATTATCACCATCTCACAGCTGGCAAGACTGAGGCTCAGAGAAGTCAAGTGGGAGAGCTGGATCTGGGCTCAAGGACTCAGCTTTTGTTTTTCCTGCTGTCTGCCACTACTGTCAACCGCCCTCCAAAGGCACAATATCATTTTGAGCATCACTTAAATTTACAAGCAGCCAAAGAGGAGTTAAATGAATACAGGGTAAAAGGCCATAAACACACTCAAGACAAATGTGAATTTCTGATCAAAAGTTGTCAACAAAGTAATAAAGTGACAAAACGAAGTTAATAATTTTCCAGAAACTAAAAATTCTCCCTAACTCCTGGGAGATTCTCAGTCATTATATGCCTGCCTGCAGGTGTCTGGATTTATATTGAGGTCCATGAAAAAAAATCTCACCAAAGGTACCCCGAGAAAGGTCTTGCAAATGCCAGACTCACAAAACTCACTGCTGTGAGATTGCTGAGGGCATGACTTACCTCCCAGCAGACATCATCATGCCCATTTAATAGGCATGTTTCCAGCCCTGCCCAGCATCACCACTGTTAACAGGGAGCACTGTACACACTATTCCCTTCAGGGGATTTGAGATTTAAGATCACTGTCATGTACATAAGACAGGAGTGGTGGAGTTCACTTAAGAGGAGAATACTTCCAATGTTTCTTGCATAAAGAAAAGACAAATATATATTTAGGGTCCTTGCTAGACTTTATGTTTTCTACTATTACAGTTTTATATTGCAAAAATATAAATGCTTATTTATTGTGTAAATAAAACAAATATGTAGAAGCAAGGGTTCAGTTAATTTTATATCCATATTCCTCACCTGAAGACAGACCCCCCACAAGGAATCTGATTCCCCTTCAACTTGGGTCATCGGGTCCTTGCTAGACCAGCCTAACTGGCATCTAACAGCAAATGAACGTGGGTTTTATCAGCACGTTGCTCTGAAGGGACCTTGTCCCCAGGTCATTATTAGGATTAACGAGCTGGCAGATGCCCATTGTGCCCCATTTTGTTTTGAGACAGTCTTGCCCTGTCGCCAAGTCTGGAGTGCAGTGGCATGATCTTGGTTCACTGCAACCTCCGCTCTGGGTTCAAATAATTCACCTGCCCCAGCCTACCAAGTAGCTGGGATTATAGGCGTGCACCACCATGCCCAGTTAATTTCTTGTATTTGTAGTAGAGATAGGGTTTCACCATGTTGACTGGGCTGGGCTGGAACTGCTGGTGTTCCATATGCCTCGGTCTCCCAAAGTGCTGGGATTATAGGCATGAGCCACGCTGCCCAGCTGCCTCTCTCCTTTGTAAACTATTTATTAGTTAATATCATGGCTTGGCACAAAACACCAGCCCAGAGGTTAGAAGATACGGTTCTGAAGCCCCATCTGCCTCTTGCTTCAATGGGGAAGAAACTTGCTGTGAACATGAGCTTGTTTATCTCCTATGGAGCGAATTCTTTCTCTAAATACTTTATAAGATTTTGTGAAGATCATAATCAAAATTAGATAATGTAGTTAAATATGTTCTCAAAATTAGGGACAGTTTTCTCTTTATTTGTTCCTCATTACCTGGATTAGTGCATTGTTTCAGGTACACAACAGATAATATTAAAATTAGCTTTGTTATTAAATCATAAAGATTTTATTACTAAATTAATATATTGTTTTAATAAAGAAGCAAATCCAGTGACCACAAATTACCTTATATAAGAATTTGGTAGGATGACTGGGGAAAAATCCTTGGTCACTCCCTTTCATGGTGGAACTAGTTTTATGTGTGAAGGGAGGAACACCCACCATGTGTAAAATGAGATTTAAAAATGTTTAAAAATTGTATTAAAGTAGAGCCTACAACAGATAAGTGCACACATCAACAGTGGAAAGAACGGTAAACCCTCATGAAAAAACATGTTCATGTAACCACTGCTGAATTAGTTGAATAGACTCTTAAACAACATTGAATAAGTCACCTCCTTTCAGACCCGATCACTAATGTGCACGGTATCCCTGGAAACTTGTCAAAATGCACTTCACTTACTTACTGCTTTTCAGGTACACTTCTGAAATATCTGTCAATGTTAGAGTTAAGGATCCTTGTTAAATGTGCAAAGAATTAATCTTGGAAACATGAGAACAGAAGTCCTATTATATTTTAATATATAGCAACTGAGGAAACGGGAAAGAAAACACCAATGTCCCAGGATAGAGCAAAAATGCAATAGGAATTGAAGGAGATTTGTAGAGGGAAGAAAGATCAGGACGGGTGCTCACTAAGGCAGGAGAATGGAGAAGAGGGAAGGCATCAGTGCAGAGACACAAAGGAATTAAAAGTGAATGGAACTGAATTGAAATAACTTTGAGGATATTTCAGAAATGAATCCTGGTCTGTTTTTGCACTTAGAGGAATTAATACCTCCAGGACATTCTTCCATCTCTTTTCTATGTGTTTGTTTGTTTGATTTCAGGGTAAAGATCAAATTATTAGGAAACTTCTGAATCAAAAACAACCTAGGGATTAGTATATTGAAGGGACTATTCTTTATCTTCATCAGCAACAATGGAGGAAAGTTTTTCCTTCTATCTCTGAGTTGACACTAGGATAACATAAGTCTGAATAACCTTTTCTTAGTCTTTACTTGTAACCACTCAAAACTTTGTCTGATATTTTCTAAACCTTGTATCAATAAAGAAAATAAACACCAGGTCCATCAATATTTATTTTTTATTTCTCATATATCAAGACCTTACACACAGGAGAAGCTAAAGTTAAGCAGATGGTGGAAAAGTCAGTGTGGTCTTTGCTTAGTTAGAATTCCACCAAAGTTGCACAATTATCAAAGCACCACACTTTAACTAATTACAAAAGAAATACTTTTCTTTAGCATATCAATGGAGATGTCAAGAATAAGAAAACTGATCAACTTATTCCAAGGGAAATAAGTTAGCTAAAGACATGTCTTGGTTTATTCACTCTATATTTCTCTATTACTATTTTATTCAAGTGTAAATGGCAGCTTTGTGGGTGTGGCCATGTAATAATCTTAATGGCATAGTCAATTTTCAATCAGTCAATCGATATTTATTAATTTCCAGGAATATATTGGACTCCATGTGAATAAAGGCATGGCAAGTATTTATAATTTCAGAGGTAAGAGATAAAATAAAAACATTCATAAAATGTAATTAAGAATACAGAACCCAAAATACAATAGTATCACCTTCATAAAAGTTTTCTAAATAAAACTGCTACACTATCAGCACTGGAAAACATTTTATTCATATTGAATGTTTTAAATTAAATCATCAAGGAGGTGGCAAATGCTCCTTGCAATTTCCATCCAAAAGTTGGCTGGCAATGCAGACACGAAGGACAGATGACCACATGTAACACATAAAAATACCTGTTCAGGGCACTTCAAAGGGCTGCTTGGCTTGCCATGAACGGTTCATAGGGCTACTTCACTGAGAATTCCCTCTGGAAATATTTCGTGGTGAATCCAGCAGAACAAATTGGCTAATGCAGAGGTTCTCGCCAACCTTGCTATTGGTCCTAGATAATCCTTGCACAAGGATCATTTTGCCTGTTTATATATTTGCATTGCTAAAAATGACACTGAAAATTCTTCAGAACGAATACCGTATTTTCTGGAATAGCTGTGTATGGCCACATGTTTGTACTCAGCCCCCCACTAGTTCTTCCTGATCATATTGGCCACTTGGATTCTCTGGGAGGGGCCCCATCTCCCTAGTGCTTTCCTCAGCGCGGCAGCCACATCTTTATTCCTCAAGCTGTAGATGAGTGGGTTGAGCATGGGGGTGAGGATGGTGTAGAAGGCAGACACAACTTTGTCCTTCTCTGGAGTGTGGTAGGAGTGGGGCAGCACGTTGGTGTAGAAGGCTGCCCCATAGAAGATGCTCACCACCATCATGTGAGAGGAACATGTAGCAAAGGCTTTGCGCCGGCCCTCAGCAGAGCTCATGCGGTGCACGGTGAGGAGGATGTGGGTATAGGAGACAGAGATGATGGACAGAGGGATGAGCAGCATCAGCACGCAGCAGGCATACATCAGGGTCTCGTAGAGCGACGTGTCTATGCAGGACAACTTCAGCACAGCTGGAATCTCACAGAAAAAGTGATTGATCTCTCGGGATCCACAGTAGGGGAAACTCATGGTGACAGGCGTCAGCATGAACCCATCCAAGGAACCACCCACCCAGGAGCCGGCCACCATGAACAGGCAAATCCTGCGGTTCATGAGGAGAGGGTACCGCAAGGGGTTGCACACAGCCACGTACCGGTCATAGGCCATGAGACCCAGCAAGAAGAACTCCCCTCCCATCAGGGTCAGGTAGAGGAATATCTGAAATGCACAGCCCAGGAAGGAAATGGTCTTGTCCTTGGACAGGAGGTCCTGGAGCATCTTGGGGACAGTGACACAGATGTAGATGGTATCCATGATGGACAGCTGGCTGAGCAAGAAGTACATGGGCGTGTGGAGGCGGGAGTCCACATGGATGAGCAGAATCATCACCACATTGGCAGTTATAGCCACCACAAAGATGGAGAAGACTATTGCAAAGACAAGCCCGGGGAAGGCAGGGTGGGTGATGAGGCCTATGAGGATGAAGTTAGTGGAGTTCTGGAGAAAAGCTTCCATGCCCATGTTCCATGACAGTCCCTTGGCCTGTAAAGGCAGAAATTTGGTAGCTTATTTAGTGACCTGATGTTTAGAAAGAGCCCACCAGGAATAGTATGTCAGAAGCACCATGAGATAAAGAAAAGAAAGTCTACTTCAGGATCATTTGAAATCCCAGTTTCAGTATCAATGATCTGTATGACATTGGACAGAAAATTAATCTCTCAACTAATTCAATCTCATCATCTGTGAAAGATCAGCATAGGTCTATACAGGCTGCATGCGAGATGTAAATGAAATAATTCATGCCATGCCTCTTTTAGAATCTGCTTTATTTTTATTCTGAACTATTTTCTGAATACATTTTATAATCTTACCACTTTAGATTGAAAGTTTCCTAGGGTGGTTACTGTGCCCGTTTTGCCGGGCAATACGTGGTTTGATTGAATTTAAATTGCTCTCTGCACCTCCATTAAGATGATCGTATTAAGATACTACGATTATGACTTAAGAAATTGATAGAAAATATCAGACAACTGACTTTTTTGGCTTCTGTTTTTAGCAGTTTTGTGAAAGTCTGCAACATTGTAGCAGTACAGATGAATTCACCTGAGGGTCAGGAGCCACAGTGTCATGTGGTTAGAGTTTTGTGCTGCAAAAGGAGTTCATATTTTAGGCATGGGTTGCTTTGAGTGCTTGTGTCTATTTGTTCTCACAGAATAATCTGGGGATCATAAATCTTGAAGGAGGGGCACCACAAACCGCTTCACAGCAAGGCTTTCGTTTCGTTATCATGGTGGCTTTTCTGGTTGACACAATGAATTCTGCTAAAATTTTATGACTCAGTACCTATTATTCTCTTAAAATGCTGTTTAGCCAAAATGTGACAGTTCCTCCGACAGCGTGGCATTCTATACCTGTCCTAATGTTATATTATCCGAGGAATCCACTGCTAGTTAGGTTTTTTCCTCCTTAAATTTATTTCTCTTCCATTTTACTGATCCTTCATGTTTATAAGTAAAAGTAACTACAGATGGTAAAGACATTTCTGAACTTAGAGGAAGAAGACAGCAGTGTCAAACGCTCTTGGAACTAAATGGAATGAGTTCTCATGTTTTTATTCTTGAGTAACATAAATGCATGTCCCCTTGATATTTTCAGGGATACTGAGGGATGAATCATTCCTTTTTATTACTACATTTTGGTGTATTTCTTCCCATAATGGTGACAGGATTACTGAAGAAACCTATTTCTGCAAAATGTTTTGGCCACTAATACTACAAACACATCTGAATCTTTAGGTTCCAGATTAGTCAGATTTACAGTCTCCGAAGCGTCAAGAAGGAATAAACTCCCCTCACGCTGAAGCAAAAGCAATAGGAACAGTAGAGACCGTGTTCCTTCTTAGTGCTCGTCAAAGGTGGAGAAGAGGGGGGTACGAGCACTAGGTCTAAAAGATGAGTAAACTCCTAGAGGGAGAAAATGAAAATCAATTTTTGTGTTGGTCTGTGCTGAAACTTAAGTTTATCACACCTTGGTTGAGAAGGAGAAAAAAACAACACATGAGCACCAGATAGTAACTCCTGGCAAGCTTGATAAAAGTCAGCTACTTTTGCCTTCTCTGATAGAAAGATTTTCCTGTGATAGCTACAGCTTTGAGTCACGGGTCAAGAGACAACACTTAATTATAAAATTCAATGTACAGCAACTTTTGTAATAACTTGTTGTAAATGAAAAATATTAATTTGGCAGACAATAAGTTTATCTTGACCAACATCTATTATTTCCCTTAAACGCATTATAGATATTCTACATTAATTACTGTAGTGCTAAACTAGCTTACAATCATCCTTTTAAATATATACTTTGAAAAACTGAAATAGGCAAGAATGAGACAAATGAAAATGACCTAAGAAAATAACCAATTACTTTTGAATCAGAACATGAGCCAGACCATTGTGTTCCATGTAAATAACCAGACTGCACCTCACAAAGTTTTCAAAGAGGGGGCAAAACACTCTATTGCCTCAAATGTCTATGATGAAGGAATGAAGACATCTCCAACTCCTAGATCTTATGTCAGTATAGATCTAGAAAAAGAAGAAAGTAAAAAAGCTGAAACAGGAGAAAAATATGATTTCAGAAGAAGAAAGTAAAAAAGCTGAAACAGGAGAAAAATATGATTTTAGCTACCTTCCTTAATTTTATACAACCAAGACTAAGTGAGTTAAAAACAAAGACAGAATTAGATAGTGGCTGCTTGTAAGTGTGAGTGTTGTGTGTACACGTGTGTGGAATGTGTTCGTATGTGAGAGTGTGAGCATGGTGTGTGTTTGTGTGCATCTGTGAGTGTGTGGGGATGTGTGTAGGGAGCTGACCTTGCTCCTACACTGCACTGCTTAACACGAAGGACCAGTTCACTCATTTCAATGAAGCCGATATTTAGAACCAAATGCAGCACATGTTCAAATGCATGACTAATACTGTTCCATAGGATATTGGTCATTGCAAGTGGGCCGTGAAAATACCTGCATCATGAACAAAATAATATGTGATCAGTTACTTCTGTTTACATCAGTTCCCAGCATCTAATTTTAACATTCGGGTTCACACCATTGTTTAACACAATGTGTGGTTTGGCTTATTCACATATACAAGATGCTGGATTCCACGCCCCATCAGGCAGTCCTTCCTCCACTATCATCGTCCTGCACTGTTCAAGACCCTTAAGTTTCTTCCCATTTCCCTCATCAACTAATCTTCAAACAAACAAAGATTTTGATAGAAAGGACAGGGAGAGAGAGAAAGAAAATAAGAAAGAAAGAGCGAACTTTCATTTGCATGATTTGAAGCTTCAGGCCTTTCTGCTGTTCAAAGCAGGGAATGCTTTGTCCCCAGCGCAGGTTAGAACATAAGCCAGAAGCCCCTGATCCCCCAGGACGGGTTATAACACACTCAGTGTTGCAACGTAATGATCTGGTGGGAACGGGAGGGTGGAAGATGAAGCCAGAGGGTGGAGGACACTGTGCCCAGGAGTGCTGCTTGTCTTTTACCTTCACACTTGGGGCTGATGGGGTAAGGGACGAGTGAGTTCGTAGAGGCATTTATTGTACCTGCGGCCTGCCACGTGGAGAGAAGAGGGAAAGAGAAACCTTTTGGTTGCAGAATCTCTCTGCAGGGTGCCCCGTGGTCAGGGCTGGGATTTGTTTGTGTCTGTGTTTCAGGACAGCAGACCTGGAGTAGTTCTGGGAGAAGCCGTAGAAATCAAAACCCAATCGGTGACTCTCCCTGAAAACTGTATGACGAGAGCTCCAAGAGAGGTCAGATGCTATCCTACCAGGGAGAAGAGCTGAAAGCGATTAATTCTGACACCCCTTTCCAGGAATTCAGCATGACGACAGCCATGAGAAGTAACTATCAGTGTCCTTTCTGCTGTAATAAAACTGCCAACCAGAACTGGTTTTCTCCACTTGACTCCATGTACCTGTAAACCTTTAAAGGGAAGGGTTTTCCATTCCATTCTTAGAGATAGAATGCCTCAAGTGCAAAACTTTCTGTGTTCAAGACACAGCACCTGCTGTCGTGTGAGCTGCAGATATTAACAGCAACTGACCGTCTCCTTAAGGGCTATAGAGTTAAGTTTGATAAATGTATCATATATCAAATATCCTCATAAAAGCAGGTCATTTGAAGTCTAATGTGGGTGTTTCTAAAAATGAAAAATTACGTTGAGGACTTTTGAAAGGTGTTTAGCAACAGAAGTAACACACAGAGAATGCAGCTGTGCTTTGTTCAGCTGTCGACTTGCTCAGGATGACAGGCATGGAGGTGCTTCTCTGGACCTCAGAGTTCTTTCAGTGAAAGACTGGCATATGACCAACATAGCACTAATAAAAATTGCCACAGAGCTCTAAGAGCCATCGATTATGTTTTCCTGAATGACAGAAAGGGGGCCAAGGATAGCATATTGGAATACTTCTGCTTTGATTAAAGTTTATAAAAAGAAGATAACTAATGTTGTGAAAGGCACTGAGATGCAGGAGGAGAAACAGCTACAGATGCAGGATTCCAATCAAGAAAGAACACGTAGGGCCTTACATGTGCCAGGTACGTTAGGAGTTTTACATACATCAGGTCAGAGCGAACCAGAAGACGCTACGCATCAGTCTGAGTAGTGGTTAAGGATGCAGTTCCCCCTTACCTGCGGGAGACACTTTCCAAGACCCCCAGTGGGTGTCTCAAACTGCAGACAGTCCTGAGCCCTATATATACTGTATTTGATCCCACACTTAGATACGCATGATAAAGTTGACTTTATAAATTAGGCACAGCAAGAGATTAACAGTAATAACTAATAATAAAATGGAATACTTAAAACAGTATACTGTGGTTATAACTTTTTCAGTTTGAGGTGTGACGACGAAACTTGCACAATTTGTTTCTTTCTTCATGATTTCAAAGATAAAGTTTTTCTTACCATAGGTCTTAGCAAACTGAGCATATAAAGCTTTTTCTCTCCTTATTAAGTCAAGAAATTTCACCCGTTTACTCAGAGTAAGGAATTTATAGCCTCTCTTTGGCATATCTAAATGGCCAGCGTCACTGCTCCATGTCGTTGGGGCCATTATTAAGAAACGAGTGACTGGAATACAAGCACTGTGAATCCACCACAGTTGATTTGATAACCTAGACTGCTACTAAATGACTGAAGAGGTAGGTAGTGTAGACAGCCTGAATCAGCTGGACAGAAGGAGGACTCCTGGCCTCTGCAGGACAAGATTTCATCACTCCTCACAATGGTATGCAATGTAAAATTTATGAGTTGTTTATTTCTGAGATTTTTCATCTGCTATTTTTAACACATGGTAGAGAGCAGGAACCTGGCAGATTGCAGGTAATTAAAAAGGTGGAAATGAAAGTGTTAATAAGAGAGGAATACTGTGTCAGAAATCTTTACCCCGAGGGTTCACCCTATGGCTAGAAACTGAAATGATCTTAAAGCACAAAACATTGGAAGAGAACTTAAGAGAAAACCGCTTTGAAAATAGTCGTGTATGACAAGAACCAGGAGAAGACAGGAGTCATTTCAGTTAAACAGCGTGACAGTGGAGCTGAAAATCGGTCTGATTCTGAAACCGGAGACTTTATAGAGAGGACATGATCAAAGACAGTGTCAGTCATGTCAGAAAAGGCTGGAAATCAGGAATTAGCAGGGCACCTGGGGTGAAGGAAGCTGGGGAGAGACCAGTCTAACCACAGCTGTGCTGTGGGATGAGGTGGGCTGTGGGGTAGTGTGGTGGGGTGTGGTGGGGTGTGGTGGGGTGGGGTGTGGTGTGGTGGGGTGTGGTGGGGTGTGGTGGGGTGGGGTGTGGTGTGGTGGGGTGTGGTGGGGTGGGGTGGGGTGGGATGTGGTGGGGTGGGGTGTGGTGAGGTGAGGGGCAGACACCTGTGGCCCTAAACACAACGCACTCATTACGATCCCCTGTGGTCTGAGCTTCCAACATGCCCATGTCTCCCCCTCAGCTCCAGTTACTCAGCTCGACAGGCTTTTATGTGCCATGCTAAGATGGCTTCTAGGAGACCTCTTTAATATTATCTATTTTTTTTTAAAGATTTTATATTAAGGCACATGTGTATGCCTTATGGGGTAAATAAAAGAGGAATGGGGTTAGAATAAAATAAAATAGAAAACATCTTTTTTCCTCCAAGTGTACAGAAAGCCTTCAGCCACACCTAAATGCATGTGAGGAGAGCAAGTAATGGTAATTAAATAATCATTATTTAACTTAACATGTAACTATTTTAAATTATAATTAAAATTTTAATAACTAAAAATATTCAAAGGGCAATCTATGCTTATCAGATAATAATATACACCCTTGCCATCAACAAATTAAAGTCTGAAGATTTCTCACTGTGAATACTAAGCAGTCTTCCAACTGTCAGCTCTTATGCGTCATTTTCCTTCAGTAAAACTATTCATGCCCTTCTCAACTATTACCCAATTTCCTGTAGCTTCCCATGTTTCATGCTTAATGTCCTTCTCCAATTGTCTGCTTGCCAAAGAGTGAATATATGTATTCATGCTTCTTAATCTTGGAGACCATTGCCTTGGTCATTAGCAGAAAAGGTCACAATGCAGTGGCCTTCTAATAGTCACAGGGTAATGCCTAAAGAAAACATCCTAATATCTGGGTAATGGTCTCTCTGTTTTTCATGAAAATCTAAGATCCTACCTTAGAGAAGCTGGGTCCAAGTCCTTCTAATGCAACAGGGGAATGTCAGACTTCTTAAATACATGTGTGTGGAGGTGAGTCTAGGTCAAAAGAAGGCTTTTCACTAATAATAGATTTCCACATTCCCCCAGGAAGATTTCCTGGGTTAGCAATTAATCCAAGTTTACTTGGTTTACCGCGAACATTAGAAGTTCATCCGTTCTTGCCAGAGGGTGAATTGTTTTCTCAAGTGAAAGACTGGAATTGTTTCTTGGTATTTCATCATGAAAATGTCTTATCAAATCTTGGCATCTCTCCAGAGTAATTTTAAAAGAAGTGATTTGGGGATAAGAGACAGCCTAGCCCTAAATTGAAAATTAGATTTTGAACTTCTTTAGAAATAGAGGCTATGACAAACTAAAAAACCTCTTTCTCAAAAGTCACTGGCCTATTTTGGTTGGGGAAAAATATTTACAATTATATTTAAAAGTGTGAACCAAAAAGCATTGGAGACAAGTCTCAATCCATGTAGAGGTTTATTGTGCCAAGGTTGGTGATGCACCTGGGAAAGAGGAACACAAAATGAGTGTTAGACCTAGTGAACTCCAAGTCTCTCTTCAAAGAATCAGTATGGCAGTATTTCCTCCATTTTAAAGTCTGACTTCCTTGTAGTTTCAGTAAACCACCTTTTCCACCAGTTCTCATCAGTAGTTCACATCTGTTTCCCTGGTCCCCTGCTCTGTCCTGACTCATCCTGGTCACCTGCTCCTGTCACCTGCTTTGACCTATGTCACCCCTGGGTACCTGCTCTGACCTGCCTGTGACCATTTCTCCTGCCAAACTATCCACCCCACCACTCTGGCTCGCACCTCTGCTCTCTTTAAAATAGCCAATCAGAATTAGACTAGACTGTGCCCACAGGGGAAGGGCACAGCAGTAGGGACGACCTCCCTCAGGAACAAGGGCCCCTTCCTGCCCCGTCCAGGTGTGCACTTGCCATTGTTCCATCTGTGGGCCACACCCTTCTATAGAAGTAAATTTCCTTGCTGAGGAAATTTATATTCGAGTGCTCCTTTTTTTTTTTTTTTTTGTGGCACCAAAAATTTACAGATAACAAAGGAGCATCTGAGATTTGTGCTATTTCCAGAGAGGACTGGGAGCCTTCAATATTTAAAAGGGAAACAGTGGGCAGGAGAGAAACAAGGAAAGAAGAAAAGGGAAGGGTAGATAAATGGAGTAAGTGGTTGCTTTCTTTTGAGGCTTTAATCAGCGTTCAGTTCACTGAATTTACACTTTAGAAAGGAGAGGGTAGGGAAACAGTAACTGGGCATTCATCTCATGCCCTGCGAATCTGGAGTTTTACATGAGGTAAGGTAAACAGAGTAGAGGAAGCAGTCAAATATGCATTTGTTTTCAGTGAGTGGAGGGATGACTCCCAGGCCTGTCTGTCCACTACCTGTGAAGATAAGCCATTAATTCACATTGTCAGCATGACACTCAACAGAATGGTTTCAGGGTAAAAATCTTTGGGTCTGCAAGGAATTTCCTTGTGAGCAAATGTGAGGGAGGGCCCACAGGGAGGTATGTAAACCTCTGTCTTTGTAGGGCTCCATTTGGGAACAATATGGAATGCAGTTTTGCACGACTGAGTTCCCAAGTTTGAATTTTACTTTTGGCTTAGTAAGTTAGGCTCCCATGATTTTTAGTTTCCTTCTAATGCTTTCTACTACCTCCCCCTATTTTCACATAAGTGGTATTTGCCACTTACAGAGGTTATGTGTTTTTCAGAATTATTTGTCTCATGCATAGTACAGAAGAATATTGAATTCAATTGGACTAAAGGAGACATGAGAAACAGAAGAGAAAAAAGAAGAAAAGAATGAAGGAAAGGATGCAATGGGTAGGGAAGAAAAGAAATAAGAAAAAAGGGAGAGGACAAAACAAGTTGTATATTATCTAAAAATTTTTCACGAGAGTATATTAAGATATTTAAACATTGGGAACATTGAACTTCCTAACACGTTTATTTTATTTCTCTAATGGAAAAAAGAAAGAAGGAGGTGGTCTTGTTTGGGAAGCAGAACAACTCTGGTAATAATAATCATCAATAGTAATGATAATAACAAATCATCATTGAGTGCTTTGCATGCATTAAGTCAGTTAATGGGAACATTACTTATATGATTTCTAGTCTTCACAAATTCATTAGACACGTCTTATACCTTATGCCCATATGTTACAGGTAAACAGACAGACAGAAAACCCTACACCTTTTCAGCCTTTAGAATGTTATTCAATAACTAATTCTTCGTAAAGAATATTTTATTTGTCACCCATAAATTAAAAAGTTCTCTAAATAGCTATTGGATTGATTGAATAGACTCATCCCTCCAGAGTGCCGTGACATCCTACAGAGCCATAAATGGGTTACAGTCAATATTGATCCTTTCAGCCCGGGACTGGTCTCTTAATGCCTGATTTGGCTACAGCCACAAGGGAGTTGATTTTGCTGTTAACAGCCACACAGTTTTCCTCAATGTGCTGGATAACTATCATTTATTTTGATGGCTACGTCATGAAAATATTTCAGAAGTGCTGCTATATCAATGAGATTGGGCTTCTAGTATTATTATCAACAGTTTTCCTGAGGAAAATAACAGGCCTGTGAACAATGTACTGATTGGTATTATTTTCTAATTCATATGTCACAATATTTTGTCTAATGTTGGATTTAGTGTTCTTGTAAGATGAAAAGAGTCTAAATTATTTATATAAGAGATATTTTCTGGTGTCTCAATCTTCCTTTTCATGTTTCTTATTCACCTTTTTCTTTTTTCTCTTCTCTTCCTTCCTGCCCTTTAACTCTTTTCTAGAAGTAATCCTTTTATATCAGTAGTATAGACATGGTTGCTACAAGCTAACAGTAATTTCCACAGTTTGGAGCTTAGATTCTCAGTGTTTGTTTAATTTCAAATATTTCTGTCTGCCCATTCTGTTACTCCATTCCAAAGTGCCATTTGACATTTAGGGTGAATCTGTATTTGGCAAAACCCTGCTAGTTATTCTAATAAGACCTAAATTAAATTTTTAAATGTTCAATCTATATTTCTAAAGATTTTAGCCCTCTGCTCCTGTCTCTGAAAAACAGAGACTGTATTAGCCCATTTTCATACTGCTATAATGAAATGCTTAAGACTGGGTAATTTATAAAGAAAAAGAGGTTAAATGGGTTCACAGTTCAACATGGCTGGGGAGGCCTCACAACCATGGTGGAGGGCAAACGCACATCTTACATGGCAGGAGGAAAGAGGCATGTATAGGGGAACTGCCCTTCACAAAACCGTCAGATCTCGTGAGACTTATTCACTATCACGAGAACAGCATGGGAAAAAAGCACGCCCATGATTCAATTACCTCCCACCAGGCCTCTCCCACTACACATGAGGATTATGGGAGCTACAATTCAAGATGATATGTCGGGGCAGACACAGCCAAACATATCAGAGGCACATTCCAATAAGTTCTTAACTGAAGATTCTGGCAAGAAAAAAAGTGATATGCTGAGGTTGCTAAGATCTACAGTAAGAATGAATCTTCTGTCTTTGAAATTGTGTAGAAGGAGAAGAAAACATTTGTGGTGATTTTGCGGTCACACCTTAAACTGCAAAACTTAGAGCCACAGTGTGTGGTAAGTGCTTAGGTAAAAAGTAAAAGGCATTACATTTATGGTAGAAGATGAGCAAATACATGTTGTGACTGACAGCAATCAGGTTCTAAACTATGGTTTCAGGTTTCCACAGGGAGTCTTAGAACACAGCCTGTGAGGATAAGATGGCGACCACTATATTTGAAATATAATCGAAATGATATTTGATGAGTTGATTGGCTATAATGGTCAACGGACAGAGTGTCTAAAGGGGAAAAGTCAGAAGTCATGGAAGTAGCTGAAGATGACCATTTCTTCTTTCATGACTGAACATAGCCAGAAAAAGACTACTCCATGATTTTTAGTGGAATGCACACTTGGTCACAAGCTGATGGGTGACTACTAAACCCACAACTCCCCATCCCATTCCAAACTGTCCATTGTTCAGAACTGTCATACCTTTCAAAAATGATGAAATCTTCAAAATCTCAGTCAGCTTTCCAAATCCCATAAATGCCCCACAGTTGCTGGGGTGACTTGTTTCCAGACAGAGAATATTTAAATTCAAAGGCAATGGTAAAGTTTTGTATCTCTCACTTCAAACCTCTAGCAGCATATGCAATTTCTTTAGAAAGTGGTCACTTTTCCTGAGGACACACATCTGCCCACAACCTTCTGTAGGACATCTGTGACATCCTTGTTCCTGAAACTGTAAATGAGTGGGTTGAGCATTGGAGTGACAATAGTGTAGAAGGCAGATACAGCTTTGTCCTGCTCAGGGGTGTGGTAAGAGTGAGGCAGCACGTATGTGTACATGGCAGCTCCATAGAAGAGGCTGACAACTACCATGTGTGAGGAGCAGGTGGCCACAGCCTTTCGCCTCCCCTCTGCCTCACTCATCCTATAAACAGTAATGAGAATTTTTGTGTAAGAGGCTGAGATGACAGAGAAAGGGATGAGGAGCATCATGATGCAGCAGACATACATGGCTGTCTCGTAGGCTGATGTATCCGTGCAAGAGAGCTTCAGAAGGGCAGGGACCTCGCAGAAGAAATGGTTGATTTCCCGAGAAGCACAGAAAGGGAACTGCATGGTGACTGGGGTGAGCAAGAAGCCATCAATAGACCCTCCCAGCCAGGCTGCCACCACAATCAGCCAGCAGATCTTGCGGCTCATGAGGACAGGATAGCGCAGAGGGTTGCAGATGGCTACGTAGCGATCATAGGACATGAATCCTAGGAGGAAGAACTCAGCCCCTGCTAAGGTCAAGTAGAGGAAGTGTTGAGCAGTGCATCCCGCAAAGGAAATGGCTCGCTGGCTCATCACCTGGTCAACCAGCATTTTGGGCACAATGGTGGAAATGTACAGGATGTCCATGAGGGAGAGCTGGCTGAGCAGGAAGTACATGGGGGTGTGGAGGCGGGAGTCCGTGTGGATAAGAACGATCATGACCATGTTGCTGGCTATGGAGGTCACAAAGACCAGGAGAATGAGGGCAAAGAGAAGCCAGGGGAAACGGGTGTTGCTGAACAAACCCAAGAGGACAAAGTCGCCACGCGTGGAATAATTGCCCCACTCCATGGCTCTGCAGGGCACACAAAAGGGAGAGACAGCTATGACACATAAAGTTGGAAAGGTATCTGATTTGCCTAAAACGTTATGATGCAGTCAGGAACAAACCAAGGTAAAGCCATCTTATTTCTTGAAGCTCAGCTTAATTTCCTGAGAGAACTGCCAGAGCAGGATTGCATCATCATTGTTCATTCAAGGATATTCGTGACTTGCTGACTACTACTTGTTAACTTAGAGTTCATGATGAAATAATTTTATGTCTTTTTGTTCATGAACATTTATTCGTATCTCTCAAGTACAACGTGACATTGAGGAGGATGCGCGTAAGACAGATAAGAATGGAACCAGCTCGATTGAATAGGAATAGGGTGGTGGGTAAGGAAAGGAGGATTGTCCCCATCCCATACTGCTCTCTTTATACCAGGCTCTAGTTCTTATACTTAGAATCCAGTTTGAAAATCACCAATCAAGCATATACAATTTGCCTATGGAAGAAAAAATGCATTGGTTTGACCTAATTTACACCATTTTTGACACATTTGTACATTGTAAAATTTGAGTGTTCAATTTATATGTATTAGGGGTTGAATATTTGAAAATAATGAGCCTATGTTGAAAAAAAAGAGCTCTGAGTTCTGAGAACTAATTCAAGAAGTCATAGGAAGAAAGAAATCTAGGGAGAAAATAATATTTAGGGTCAAGTGGTGTTTGCTTTTCTTATTGCTACAGAAATTATAAACATACAACTCATTAGCAAGGGAAATGGGAGCATAATTTTTTAAGAAAGAATGAAAGGGGAAACTAATTTAAATAATATTAGAAATAGTGTATCCCAAAAAAGGAATTTTTCTCTTAAACTTGAAGTTACATTACGCATCTATATCCATGTCAGTTAAACAATATTTTGCCACATTTGGGAACACCTGTGGGTTATTTGGATAGTTTCTCTCTGCGTCATATAGATTTGCACTATCCAATATGGTAGCCATGAGTCTTATGAAGCTGTGGATCCCCCAACATGACATGACTGCTCCAGAGTAAGATGTGCTGTCAGTATAAATTACATTGAGAATTCAAAAAAATTAAAAATATATGCAGTACATCTCCTTAAAACTTTTTATATTTATTATATGATAAAATCATAGTATTTCAGATATGTTTGGATAATATAGATTAAAATTAGTTTCACCTATTATTTTTTACATTTTTAATGTGGCTACTAGAAAGTTTAAAATTATCTCTGTGGCTCCCCTAGGATTTCTATTAGAAAGGACTGGTCTAGAACTATCTCTTTTCTAGAATATAACAGTTCCAAATATCTTCCTGCAAACAAGTCCTCCAAAATGAAACATACCCCAAGTAAGACAGAACAAAAAGATTTAGGTGTAATACCAGTTAGAAACAATAATGGCTTTACTTTTATATGCATTCACCTGCAAGTAGTAGTAAGAACATATTAATGGCAGTGTTTATCGATTCATAAATACAATTCACATTTCTGAAAAGCCTTGTAAATACTTTACAAGTAAAATACCAGACCACTGCTTTATCCATCCTACAGGGAAAAAAAAATGCGACTTAAAGAAACTTCCCCAGAGGAACCTGGTTCTTTTTAACCAGTGACAGCATTATAATTGTTCTATGCTGTTTTCCAATAGGATAAAGTAGACATCAATTCATTCATTCCACAAACATTTCCTGAGAGGCACACTGGGTAAGCCAGAGTTTGACGTTCTGAAAGGACCTGAAAGAATGTGTATGACATCGACTCTGTCTCTAAGGGCTGAGAATTGAGGCACATTAAGAACGTGTGTAGTATGTATGACCATAGGTGCACTTTCACAATGGTTTTAAGACCTCTGCAGTGTTGACTTCACCTTATTCGGTATGTGAGAAAAGAACAATAAACCTGGCGAAAGCTGCAGCCCAGTGGCTGGTGCATAGGAAGTTCATACCAGGGCCCCTCTGTACATTTCACTACAACCATGCCATAATGGATGGATCGAAAACTATGAAAATTAAATTCTCAAATTTTTACTGATGAAACCTACAATATATCCTTATGCAGTTTTCTCATTCTTGAAATATTACCAGCTTTATGCCAGAGCTTTCCACCAGCTGTTTTATGATGTATCCTTGTTCTATTAGTGTTTTTAAAGAAACTAACTGTGTTAACCCATTGGGGAAGCTAAAGGCAAACATTTAGCAGCAATTCACATGACGGAGAGAGGTAAATGCTCACCCGGCCCTGCTTGTCAATAATTTAATAAGCATAAGATCCTGGGAGGGCTACGCTCATTAAATTCAGAGATGGCGGATAGCTACTGGAGGCCAACCACAGAGACTGCTACTGGGAACATTAAAGACCAAGAGGGAAACGTGGGTCCAAAACATCCTTACCAGGGCAGCTGTGTCCTGGAATCTGACCACGAAACTTCCTGGCCCTAAAACTTGCTACTGAGAACCTGGAGATCTCCCCAGCTTTCTTCACAGAGGGAGATCTGAGTGGCTCCGTAACAACTCAGACTTCAAGAGCATCCATCCTGGTCAACATGGTGAAACCCCGTCTCTACTAAAAATACAAAAAATTAGCCGGGCATGGTGGCGCGTGCCTGTAATCCCACCTACTTGGGAGGCTGAGACAGGAGAATTGCTTGAACCCAGGAGGCGGAGGTTGCGGTGAGCCGAGATCGCGCCGTTGCACTCCAGCCTGGGTAACGGGAGCGAAACTCCGTCTCCAAAAAAAAAAAAAAAGAGCATCTTCCTCTCACTCTCAGTGTTGACTCATTGCCTATATTTTTAAGATTACATAGTAGTATAGCAACATTTAAGAATGCTTGGAAAATAAGGCAAAAGAAAGGAATCAAGAGGATTACTCCATGTCCCCATGTAATAACTATTTTTATGTCTATGCATAATTTCAAACTTTAATCCACTTCCAATTTTATATATACTTAATAATATTTAATATGTTTCACACGTGGTCTTTATACAGAATGTTGCTATGACTGAATGATACGACACACACTTTACTTAGCTGGTTTAGATTCACATTGTTCCTAAGTTTGCTTATAATATACACTATTCTGAGGTTAATTCTCTGGAATAGTCCATGGAAAATGGTTTATTCTGCTTTAGAAGCCTATCGCCAAATCATTAGATGCTTAACAATAATGCAGCACATGTGGGGCAGCACCATGCTTGCCCCGGTGCTCAGCACTAGTAGCTAAACTTGCATTAATACGGATTTCTTTGGTTGCTAAGAAAATTGAACATATTATTATGTGTAATTTTGTCTTTCTGTTACTTGTTTTGATTTTTCATGACCTCTGCCCTTTTCTATATAGGGGATTTGTCAAAATTAGTGTCTTCTTTCTATAGAATAAGGACATTTTAATTTAATTTAAAAAATATTTAATAATATTCTTATGTACTATTTATTGCAGCTATTTTGCCCCAAAAATTCCTTGTAATTGTAACTTTATTTGATATTCAGGCCAAAAAGTTTTCATTTATCTGTCTGTATGCTGAGTTTATTTTTGAAAAATAATTTTTCATCCAGGTATGTGATTAATATACAATTTATTTAATTGTTACTATATTTTTTAAAATGTGCAATATTATTATGCATTTAAAATCTTTGGTCTAGACATTGAAAATTAGGCAACTATTGGTTTCTTCATAAGGCCAAGCATAGGATAAGTGTGTGCTTTAAGATCATGACAGTAAGTTCTATCTAATTGTAGTTGTTCAAATAAGCAAGAGTTTGAGTACAAATGATGAGTCAGAGTGACCTCACTGATGTTCCGCCATTTCTCCTCGTTGATGTGGACACCCTTTATCCTGGGTAAAATCAGCTTTCACCCATGTTTCATGTATAAATTCTGGTATATACAAGGGGTACTAAAAAATAAGTGAGTGCTAGGTTAGCCTTAAGTAAAATTGTAATAGCAGTGACAATCAGCTTTTGAAATCTCACCTGTGGCTGTCCATGTTTTTCTCTTCAGTAACAGCAGATCTAACAGCAGGTAGCCAGTTTTCTTCTACTTTTTCGTTTTTGATGTCGTCATTCTTCTGTCAGACTCTGCTCTGCATCAAATTTGGCACAATTCTTGGTGACCATCTAATTCAGACAATGTTTGAGAGTGCTAAAGCCTCAGCTAGACAGGAGATGAGGATGACAGGCATAAAAAGGGCATCTCTTGAGAAAACAGCGCTAAACGGTGACCCTGGGTATCCGGCATTTAAATCTCTGTATAATCAAATTCATCATGTTTCTTCCCCAGCAGTATTTTCACATGAATTCTCACTTCTAATTGTGGAAGAAAAGACACTTTCTAAAGTAAAATCACTTGAGGAGTCTTTAGAATGGTAGAGAAGCTTTGATTAAAGCAAAGGGATTGTCTTGAAGCAGACCAAGGACATAATCAATAATCACCTTCTCAGTCTCAGGAGAAATTGATCTGAGTTCTTCCCCTGTCTATTCCTATCCTTGAAAATTCCTTATTTTTGGCATTTGTTGTGTAGTATTGTAAACATTAAACAAGGTTTTTAATAAAAAAGCTGGTTTTATATTCTGTCTTCATCAATGATAAGCTTCTAGATGTCTGGCAAGTCACCACATATTCCATTCTGTCAGCCTCTGGAAATTTCTAAGTATTAAATAAGAAAGTATGGTGAAATGCTTTCTTGGAGCAGAATATGGAGAATTTTCCTCACTAAACCATCTTTAGAGATACGTATGAAGTATCTAAGAAGGTGGAATACTACAAAAAATTAGATAAACTCTTCTCTTTATAAATATTTTAAAATTGTATAAGTGAATATACTGTTGCAATAATAAAAAAACTTTGTAGGAATCATTACACAGACACAAATCTGTATAGAATTTTCCTGAGTAATCTGCTACATTCTGATGTACACAAAAGATGACTGAGTTCTTCATAACAACTGAGAGAAGAAATGGGATCAAAAGATATAAAATTTACATGAGTAGCACTATCCACAAA